TATCTATATATATATATATATATATATAGATATATCTATATATCTATATATATATAGATATATTATAGATATATATATACTCGCTTATAATATATCTATATATATATAGATATATTATAGATATATATATACTCGCTTCATAAACGAGTGGTTCCGAGTTCGATCCCTACCATGTCCCTGGTAGTACCGCGCCCAACTCGTTTCTTCGCGCAGCGGCCTTGTTCGTCAAGGTTCGTGTTTCGGAGTTATAGAGTTGAGAGAGGGTTATAGCCACAAAATAAGTAGCCTCCTTGTCTGTAGTGGCCTTCTCGGCCTTGAGGAGGTGAAGTAAAATAAAAAAAAAAAAAAAAAAAAAAAAAAAAAAAATATATATATATATATATATATATATATATCTATATCTATATCTATATCTATATATATCTATATCTATATCTATCTATCTATCTATTTATATATATATATATATATATATATATATATATATATATATATATATATATATATATATATCCTAGCAAGCACACATATGTTGATAAAACATTAGAACAATTGTTGTTGTGCGTTGTGTTGGCCTAACACTGCCTGCCAATATTGTTTTTATACAATTTTGGTTACAAATGCGGCGTTGCCAACAACCAAAAACATTTTACGTTGGCACAATGCTGTATTTTATGTTGGCACAACATTGTATTTTAAATTGGCAAAATGTTGTATCTTAAGTTGATTCAATCTTTTATGTTTTCAATATTTTGTGTTTTCAATATATTTGTATTCAATATTTCTTTTATGTTTTCAATATTTTTAAATATTGAAATATGTTTTCAATATTTATGTTGACACAACATTGTATTTTAAATTGGCAAAATGTTGTATCTTAAGTTGATTCAATCTTTTATGTTTTCAATATTTTTGCAATTCAATATTTTATGTTTGCGCTAAAATATAAAATAAATTTATTTATTTTATATTTTAGTATATATATATATATATATATATATATATATATATATATATATATATATATATATATATATATATATATATATATATATATATACTATATATATATATATATATATATATATATATATATATATATATATATATATATATATATATATATATATATATATATATACATATATATACATATATATACATATATATATATATATATATATATATATATATATATATATATATATATATATATATATATATATATATATATATATATATATATATATATATATATATGTATATATATATATATAGATTACATATTATATATTTATATGCATATATAATTCTGCATATGTACTTATACATATATATTTCATCAATTTCGATGAATTAATTTTGCTGAAGATGTTTGTTATACTTATTACAACGAGAAAATTATTACAGTGAGAATGCATCTGAATTAAGATACATAATTCATTTTTGTTTTGCTTGTGGCTTGATATTTCTTTTATATAAGAAAGAGACAAATTTATTAGCAAAATATATTTCCAAAATCAACTGAAATATTTGGATAAAAATAGTTCTAACAAATTATACAAATATATATTTGTACAACTGCCTTTTCTCAATGCCAACACAATGTTGATCCACTGTATGCAATCCAATGTTATTCATATGTATATGCATTAAGTTTGATCCAATCCATATAATCCAACATTAATCTATACACATTAGATTAACATTAATTTATAAACATTGAATCAACTTTAATCCATATATATTGGATCAATGTGGGGTTATTTTGGTCAATGTTGATCCATATACATTGGATCAACATTGATCCCTATACATTGGATCAAAGTTGGATTTAGATTGGAAAAACAACCAACTTTTGCAATGTTTGTACATACATCGAACCAATGTAATTTTACTAACTATTTTTAATCATGTTGTTATTAAGGTTTTTATTAATATAAATAAGACAAAACTAATATTGGATTAATGTTGTATTTGCAAAAGAAAACAGCTGGCGTTCGCGATGTATTTACATACGTTGGTCCAACATAAGTGTGCTAGCTGGGATATGTATGTGTGCCCGTGTATGTATTTGTTTTTTTTTCATTATTCTTTGTTTTTTTTTCTTTTTACAAAAAAAAAAATGGTATGGATTTAGGTCTGAAAATGTGTACCTATATATATTATAGCATTTAAAATTTTGTGTATTTTGAGTGAATTTCCAAAAGTTACTAAATTGCAAAAATAAAAATTTTGAGTTTTCTAAATTTCATGCACTAAAATTATCATCAATTTAAATATTAGATCTAATAATAAACTCTTGTTCCTAATAATAATAAAAAATCAAGTGAATTTTTGTTGTTTCTGTGCGTCTATAAGTTGTTCAGTTTTTTGTTGATTTGTTTTGTTGAAAACTAATTTACTCTGAATTAACACGTTTTAAAAATTCACTATATCATATATTGGAAGCTTCACTAGCTGAATATTTAATTAAATGCTCAGCAATGCTCCATGGTCTAACACCAAAAGATAGAGGACATTTAGTTTTTGAATATGCAAAGAGACTGTAGATACTGCATAAAGTATCCACAAAAATGGAAGGAATGAAAGTCTGCAGGACCTTTTTGGTTCTTATAATTTATGAAACGTCATTTTAGCCTATTAACACGATTGCCTGAAGCTACGAGTCTTGCACAAATGACAAGTTGAAATAGAGTAACAGTAGCAGATTTTCACAATAAACTTCATGATCTTATTACACAATACAACTTCACAAACCGGATGAAACTGTAGTAACCACAGTGCAACGTATTTTTAAAGTTATAGCAGTACCAAGTCGATCAAGTGATGTCACGAGAAAGAGGAGATTTAATAACACAGGAATTGTAAATGCAGCTGGTCATGCCTCTACACCTGTTTGGATTTTTTCTCGCCATAGCTTTGGTAAAAGAAAAATGATACAAGGTATTCAAGATACTGTAGGATTTTGTTTGATTAACCCTTCTGACTGGATGACAAGTGAGAAATTGTTAGAACTGTTGTAAATGTTTTTAAAGTTGTTAGAATATTTTTCTCAGAATACACGTTGTTCTGCACAAAATAAGGTCTTAATGATCATGGATAACCATGAGTTCCATTTACCCGTAGTCGGACTATATTACAGCAAGGAAAATGAAATTATCATTCATACTCTACCGCTATATACATCAAATAAATTTGAACCATCAGACAGAACTGTATTTGAGCCATTTAAGCATTTTTAGAATAGTGGCCTGGATTCATAGATGTTAGCACACCCTGGTCAAACTCTTAGTATTTACAATATACCACAAAATTTTCTTCAAGCTTGGGATAGTACTGCTACTCCTCCAAATAAAAAATCAGGATTTAAATGTACTGACAAATTGCATATTTAATTATCTGATGTCCACAATATCCCCTAAACATATCTGATGTGAATTAAAAATCAAAAAATATAAAGAAAGTAAACATGTTAAAATATACCATAATCATTGTAGTTTGACAAAAAAACTTTGAAAAAAATACAATAGTTATGAAATAAGCTTAATTAGAGTAAAAATTGTCTGAAGTCTCCCTGGTCTCCCCTACATAATTTAAAGTATTGCCCATCTGAAGTAACCCTTTAACTTTTTTCTATCTTTCTAGTAATTTATAGATTTTTTGCCAAATAAACCATAAGTCTATTGAGGTGAGTCAAAATTTCCCATCCAATATTTTTCAAATAGTTTATGAACTTGTGTCTGGTCCCATATTCATTTTTTGATGATTGCTCTCTTCAAATAGAATTGTTTGGTAGAAGTCCACTGTGATTGAGTGACCAAATTTCAACAGCTCATAATACAATACACTCTTCTGACAGGGCATTACATTGGTGCCACCAATTCTTATTTAAGCTGAAATGAACCTGAAATGCCACATGAAATGTATGCTTTTTTTTTCTGTTTGTGTTTCAGATAATTTTTTTTCAAAAGATTGAAAACAATCTTTAAACTTTTGTGACCTCACCATTTTTTAAGCATTTACAAGCAAGTTTTAAAAAAAGCATGTTTGCATAAACTTCCACAAGAATACTTTGATTAAAATAATAAAGCAAAATTCCTGCAAAAGAGATCTTTTTAGTTTGAAATTTTCTCGCTTAAGGTGCTCATAATACCCTAATCTACGATATCTATATATGAATATATATATGTATATGTATATATGTATATGTACATATGTATATGTATATGTATATATATATATTATATATATATATATATATATATATATATATATATAATATATATATATATATATATAATATATATATATATATATATATATATATATATATATATATATATATATATATATATATATATATATATATATATATATATATATATATATATATATATATATATATATATATATATATATATATATATATATATATATAATAGATAATATATAAGAATGCAACTTTCCAATATTTTATGTGTACTTTAATACTTACAACAAACATTTCAATTTTCAGAAAAAAAAAGGTAAAAATAAAGAATGGAAAATTTTTTTTTTTAATATGCTGAAATAAATTATTATTTAAATAATAATCCTTATCTTTTAAGTTCTTTCTTATTTAATAAATACCTGTCTTTCTTTAAATACCTGCCTAATATGTAACCTGAAACCCTCAGTCGATGTATGTACTGAAACTACTGATTAAAAAACACTTATAATGTACTTCTGCAATTAATTATAATGGTTTTGACTTTAAGGTGACATTAGTTGTTTTAAAATTAACAAAAAAAGGCAGCAAAAGGTAGCAAATTTGTCACTTTATAATTTATTTAAATAATAAACAAAACAAAAAAACTATCAGATACTATTTTAAACTATCAGATATATATTGTGTTAAAACATAAACTTTTTATATAAATTCAAATGTATATCATAATATAAGAAATGTTTAAAAAGAAACTTTTAAACTATTCTTAAAACAATTTTTAAAAACATACACAACTATAGATAAATCACTTTCATTTTTATGATTTGGCTTCCATGATAAAACTGTTGGTTCTAACTCATTTAATTCAAGTACATGCAAACAAACTGCACGCTGGTCACCTACAATCCAAACCTTTAAAAAAAGAATAAAAAGATTCATTTAATTAACTTGCAAAAAAAAAAAAAAAAAAACCTTCAATTAAACAATTCACACAAAATAAATGGTTTTGAATAAGTCATTTGTAAATTAATAGCCTATCAGACTCTTAATATATAAATGATCAGTTAAAAAATTTTTATACTACCTGTCTACTATGATGGTATAAATTATTATAAAATTTTCTTATCTCATTTCTAAATCTGTTAAATGTATGCAATTAAGTAAGTCTGAATGCAGAGTAACTCTTAAAATAGGAACCATGAAATCAAATAAAAAATAATTTAAAAACCTTCACTTTATTTGTCAACGTGGCAAAACACAAACCAGTGAAATTAAACTGTATATCAGTAACTGGTAACTAAAACAAAACCATAATTTTAAATACAGTTTTAAATTGAAAAAAATAATAACAAGTAATAAATAAACAAGTAAAAATATAAGATATCAACAAAAATATCATTATTGTACATAAACCATAATACATTTGAAATAAAAATAATTTATAATTACAAAAAGAGAGTTTTTAATAAATTGACTCCACATTTTTTCCGACACACCACCAATAAATAATGATCCGTCTGCATAACCAACAACTAGCTCACCAGATGATTCATTCAGAGCAATTGATGAAATAGATACTGAAAAAAAATAAATTATAAAAGTAATAATAACTGCAGTAGTAAAAAAATTAAAACAAAATATAATATTTTATATATAACATATATATAATATTATAGTAAATTATATTTTATAAAATAAAATAAAAAAGTGTAAAAAACCAAAAATTAAAAACAAACCATAAGATTGAGAACAGTGATTTAACTTTTGAATTATGTCTTCTGATTGCACTATAACCAGGTATACATCCCCATTCTTTGTACCTAGAATTAATTTGTTATCAGAACTGTCTTCATTAATGTGTGTTGGCCATGCAAAACAAGATACTTGACAAACTTCAATTGTGTAAAATGTAATTTCTAAACATTTTAATAAAAACTGTTATACAATATTTAAAAATTTTTTTTATATATTGTAAATATTACATATCCAATATATAAGTATTTTAATTTATGCCAAGTTTAGAAAAATATTTGCTAAACACATAGTTATTAGGCTGCATGCTAAAATGATGTCAGTGTAGAGAAAGGTGTAATACTGGTTAGTCTTAGTCTTCTTGATAAACAAAATTACATAAAAATATTTGAGAAAATGTGAGAGTAATAGAGAAAATGTGTGAGTGATTGAGAAAATGTGTGGTGATTGAGAAAATGTGGGGGTATTTGAGAAAATGTGAGGGTAATTGAGAAAATATGAGGGTGATTGAGAAAATGTGAGGATAATTGAAAAATGTGAGGGTGATTGAGAAAATGTGAGGGTGTTTAAGGGTGATAAAGAAAATGTAAGGATTATATATCATGTCTGATAAATTTTATCACAAAACATTTCCAAAATTAATTCTACTGCTATAATTTAATGAAAAATATTAGCATGAATAAAATTTATGATTCCTTTAAAAATTCATAATTTAACTCATATTCAAAGATAAATGATTTTAAAAAAAAATTATTCAAATATTATGAAAAACACAGGTGATTGCAATCTTCTTTGAAATAAATTAATAACTGATCAAACCTGTTTTTTTTTGAAACGCTACTTTTAAAATGCTCCCACTAATAATTCCAGCTACAATATCACCAGATTGCTAAAAATAAATTTTTTAGCTTTTTGTTAATTATTTTAAACATACTAGGTTATTTGATAAAGAATTATTTTATTTATTTGATAAATAATTTTATTATTTATTTATTTTATAAATAATTTATATATTTGATAAATAACTATTGACAAAGACAATTTAGTAAATCTCTTGTCAGATCATGCACAGGGTCATCATGAATACCCTACTAGTAGTAACATCTTATTCAGTGCAACCTGCTGCCTCGTAGGGTTCGCTTATTTTTAAGCAAAGGCTAGAAAAAATAAACAGCTACTTAATATTCCCCATGGCTATGAAATTTTTACTTTGCAAAAAAATTCCCTTGCATCTGGGCTTTTGGTTGGATAAAGATTAGAAATGGTGTCTTCATAAAAATACTCATCATAGACAGATGTTAACTGAATCCATCTACTCATCTATTAGGCTGTATTAGATGTTTTTTCCTGTTGGCTTGGGGGTATACTTTTGCATCAATTTACCCATTTGTCAAGAAATCAGCTTTGAATCCATTCTTTATGTGCTACCGCTTAGCACCTCTTAAATTTATCACCTTTCTCTTTGTTCTTTATCATTCCCTTTCTTCTCAAGACTGCACTCTTTTAGATGTTATTTCTGATCAAATTGACCATGCCCTTTCTCTTTACCTCTCAGCCAATATTGTTGTTATTACAGTGTTAATGCTTTTCACACTGAATGGCTTGGCTCTAACACCACAGACCTTGCTGGCACTACAGCCCATAACTTCTGTATTTCTCATCTTTTGCTCAGATAGTCAATTTTATTACTTGATTTCTAGACAACCCTTATCCATTACCTTTACTCCTTGATTTGCGTTCTCCTTTAGGTGATTCAGATCATGTAAAGATCTCTATAAACCTTTCTTCTTGTACATCTTTTTCAAGGAAAAGAAGTACAAGAAGTACAAGGTTTTTCACTCTAGCATCACACAACTTACTACTACCCTAATGCTGATTGGGAGGACAGCTTTTATCGCAGCTTTTATTCTTGCTATATCTAATCATAATCATTTTTTTACTCTCTGGAGAACAAACAGCTTTTTATCATTGCAAGAAATCGATGTTATCATATCTAATCACATCTTATCTCGATGTTACCATATCTAATCACATCTTATCTCAGAAGTTAGGCTCTAGAGACTTTTAGAAAATCTTCAACAGCGGAATTATTAAATCATTATCAAATCCTTGAAGGACAACACTCTTCTTAATTTTCAATAACTTTTGGGGTACCTCAATGTTCTATCCTTAGTCCTGTTTTATTTCTTACCAACATTGATGATTTTCCTAACAACCTTTGCTGAAGACTCAACTTTATACTCCTGTCTTGACAAAAAAAATTTTTCTTTTCGATTGTTTAGAACAGGCAGCCAATCTTGAATCTGATCTTACTTCTGTAACAGATTGGGGCTCACAGTGGCTTGTAAATTTTAACTCTAACAAAACTCAGTTATTTACTGCAAACAACTATCGCAGTACTCTTGACATTCCTATATTAACAAATGGTATCTTTTTCATTGAGCCCTCTTCTTGACGTCCTCTTGGGTTATCACTCACTAATGACCCCTCATGGAAACCATATAATTGATTGCAAAGTTAACATCTGCCTCTCTATATTGTGCTTGCCATTACTCCTGATTCTCTTCTCTACTTCTACAAACCTTCGTCCCTTTTGGAATACTGTTTTCATATTAGAGCTGGTTCTTCTAACGATGCTTTTTCTCTTTTAAACTTAAGATCCAAAAATGTAATGTAAATGTAGTTGGACCTGCTTTATCTGCCAAACTAGAGCCTCTCTCCCATCGTCAAAAAGTTGCATCTCTTTCTCTTTTCTAAAAATACTATCATGGTCCCTACTCAAAGGAGCTATTATCTCTAGTTCCATCAACCAAAACTCATTTTGGCTTGACTAGACATTCAGCAAAGCTCATAATTTTACTGTCTCTGTATGTTCTAAAAACTTTTGTCTAGTTTTTTTTTCTACACTTCATGTTTTTCTCTTCTATCTTTAAATTTTCCTCACTCATGCAAATTTTTTAAGTCTTCTGTCAAATGTTTCTATGCTCTTAAACACTATTTTTTGTTTTCTAGTAACTCCCAAGTTGAGTTGTTGCTTACAGCCTTTTTGGGAGTGAATTAGAAAAAAAAAACACAAAAATATATATAGTTAAGACAAACGAACAAAAAAAAAAAAAAAATTTAAATCAATAAAAAAAAAAATATATATTTTAAACCTACATTATAGGTCATATGTTTAATTCTATGAGCTGAGTCAGCCAAAAAGCTATCTTTAATGATCTTTTCACTTATGTCAAATGTGTGTCTTACGATCATGTTTCCATTCCCGTCACTGATTAAAATGAAAAATTAAAAAAATAAAACTTTAAATCTTTTTAATTTCTTTCTTTTTTTGATAACTTTTGAGAAACAAAATCTTTTTTTACTCAAATAAATAGTTTAAACTTCATGTTTTTTCTATGTAACATACATAATTTTATGGCACAAAAACTAGATTTTGCTTGTTCAATGTTGTTGCAAAAAAATAAAAAACCAACAAAAAAATCCAACAAAATGACACAAGGTTTCAAAAAATTTTGGTATAAAAATTAAAATTTTCAGGGTAATTATTCTAGAGTATTAGATAAACCTCCAAAAAAGTAAAATAGTAATCAAATTTCAAAAATAATAACCATTGTATATAAATATAATTTTTTTACAGTATAATTTTTGAAAATCAGTTTATTATAAAGAACTCTTATAAAGGGGGAAAAAGTATATATTTTTCAATGTTATTCAAAGAGCCACTCTATTGTACAGTTTTAAGTCATCAGAAAATGTAACTACAAAATATATGCAACATAAAGTACGTACCTTGCTAAGAATCTTCTCTTTTGTGGATGCCATGCAACTGCATGAATTTTGTTGGTGAGAGATTGACACACAATAACTGATTTGATGTCATCTTAAGCAAAATAACAATTTTTGCACAAAATTTATCTTTTAAAATTTTTAATTTAATTCATATTCAAATATTAATATTAATACCCGATGATGTTGATACTCTAATCTGCATGAACAAATACCTGTGTCTAACATAAAGAACCACTAAAACCTGGAAGTGGGGGCATAACCGCCCCCATAACGTTTGGATTAATGTAATATGAAAATAAAAACAAAATGTGTATTTTTTTAACAGTTTATTTCAATAACCACATCATTAAGCTTAAAATTGATGCAATTAAGAAAAAAATTAAATGGTTTTTGAAAATGTTATTACACAAAAATTACATTTAGTAAAAAAACAGTTTTGCCCCCATGGTGAGACACAACCACACCCTCACAAAAATTGTCGAGGTACACTTTTTTTGGTACATTTTCTTAACAATTGTCACAGCTCAGATTATTTGCTGAATTTGTTGCACGTTTGCATACTGTGTAGGCATTCTTTGTGCTTACAGTCTGAGTTTTCTCATTCGATATACTCTTAGCTTTATATTTTATTCAAAAACTCATTTAGAAAAATTAAAAAAAAAAAAGAAATCTAATTTACAACATCTCAAAACAAAACTATTTTTATTAAAATTTTTACATAAATGCATTTAAGTGTGACGATAGTAATTATTGTTATTCATAATTACTAACTTTGATAAATATTAAAAGTATGCAGTTGTGCCTCCTGTGCGTCTATGCGGTTCTGCCCCAGAGGACAGTTTTTAGAAAGAATACAGTTTCATAGCTTGCTTATTAGGTTATGTTGATATTAAAAATGATTTTCACTTGATGAAATAATGTTGGTAACATATATTTTTAACACTAAAATCAAATATTGCTTAATCCTAAAAAAAAAGGTCTGGCAAAACATGATGTAAATATAAAACTTTTATCAAAATAAACATTATTATGCACAGCTTCTCAGAAACATAACAAACATTTATTTTGACATAAGCGAAGTGAATTAAACTGTTTTACTACCACGTGGAATGTTTTTTTGCCATATTAGATAACATTTTTCAAAGGGAAATGTTAAAAAATGGTGTGCCTCCATATGCAGTTATACCCCTACTTCCCCTATATATATATATATATATATATATATATATATATATATATATATATATATATATATATATTATATATATATATATATATATATATATATATTATATATATATATTATATATATATATATATATATATATATATATATATATATATATATATAATATATATATATATATATATATATATATATATATATATATATATATATATATATATATATATATATATATATATATATATAATATATATATATATATATATATATATATATATATATATATATTATATATATATATATATATATATATATATATATATATATATATATATATATATATATATATATATATATATATATATATATATATATATATATATATATATATATATATATATATATATATATATATATATATATATATATATATATATATATATATATATATATATATATATATATATATATATATATATATATATATTATATATATATATATATATATATATATATATATATATATATATATATATATATATATATATATATATATATATATATATATATATATATATATATATATATATATATATATATATATATATATATATATATATATATATATATATATATATATATATATATATATATAATATATATATATATATATATATATATATATATATATACATATATACATATATATATACATATATATATATATATATATACATAGGCACGCTTTTTAATAGTATAAATATATATATATATATATATATATATATATATATATATATATATATATATATATATATATATATACACTTACTAAAGCGTGTTTTGATAAGCATTTGCTCACTTTTTCTGCTTACCTTAAGCTATACAGTTTTTTTCGAAAAAGAAGAAAAAACGAAGAATGATGAATGAAACGATTGTTTCCCCATCCCAAACCCTCAGTCGATGTAGCAGCACTCCACTGCGAGTCAGGCTATTTGTCAGTCGATGTATGTACTGAAGCCCCCAGCAGCAGGCTATTTGAGTATGACATCAGATTGCTTACAATAGTATGCAATACTATTTGTATATATATATATATATATATATATATATATATATATATATATATATATATATATATATATATATATATATATATATATATATATATATATATATATATATATATATATATATATAAATATATATATATATATATATATATATATATATATATATATATATATATATACATATAAATAGGCACGCTTTTTAATAGTAAAATTTTTAATTTCCTTACTTGAAGTTTGTTTAGTAAATCTGTCATTCATAAAAGCCTTCTCAATATGTAAGTATAACATAGCAGATTCCATTTGAGAACAGGCCCAAACTCGTAAGTCATTACTACCAGAGCATATAGCAGCAGATAATCCATTAAGATGTGAAAAATATATTTTCGGGTGAAAATGCTTGAGATATTGTAGAATTTCTAGTAAAAAAAGAAAAAATAATTTGTGCAGAAGTCACATTTTTAAAGAAATTTATTACTTTAAAAAAAATGTTTTTTTTGGGTAATGAATTATACTGAACTAAAATTCCTCATAAAAAATTAATGAATGCAAGCAAACAAATAAACTTAGGCATGAAAATTTTTTTATGTAAATAATTTTTAAACAGAAAAAAATTGTAAGTAAATAGTTTTGATTTTTTAAAACAAATTTTATTACATTTTATTATAAAAAAAAGATTAATTAATATAATTATTTGTGTCTTTTCTTGGAAGAAATTTATCCTTTCCTTAGACTTTTGGCAATATGCAGAACCTTATTGAAACCATGTCTCACCAATAGCATCTACTTTTTTTAATTCCAGGTTTAGTTTTTTGTCTAGCAATTTCCTATATTTTTCAGAACTCATGACTCATTTAATGGAAATCAGCGATCCCGGGTCATAGTGTGGAAAAAATTCCAAGACATGACTATTTACGGATGTTTTACAGTTAGTTCAATGTGAGCAGCTCTTAATTCTTTGTCATCGTTCTTTCTTAAATATTGTGATTGCTGTTCTTGGACTACAAAGTGTGACTCATTGGAAAACAAAACTTTTTTTAACTCGTTTACATTAAGCATATTTTTTGCCCGAGTATATCTTTCTTCAAACTTCTCATCAATAACTGCTTCTACATTGGTCCAACTGCCTTTCTTCAACTTTTTTCTCACTGTAAAGTAACGAATCTTCACTCCAAATCTTTTTGCAGATCTTCAATTTTGGCATTCAAATCAAATATGCTTTGTTTCAATATTTTTCTTTTTCTGCCACTATTTTTTTATCCTTTGTATAGCAACAGCATAGCAAAAGATCAAGTTCCCTGTTTCTGATTGATGATTTTATTTTACAGCCCACAAACCAACTCCACACTCTTTTTCCTTAAACTTAATGAAGTATGTTTGCTTAAGGTAAATTTTTTTTCGGTTTAGTGGAGTGATATCTATCATAAAAAAACAAAACAAAAAACTTAGCAGTCAGTATTTTACTTGCTTCAGAAAAACTCAAAACTCACTTTAAATGCACAAAATACTGACCAAAACCAAATGCTTACTAACAATCGTTATTAAAAATGTACATTTAAAAATTTAACAAAGTTAAATTGCTCTTCTGTGCTGCTCTGTGATAAGACCTTTAGTTCTTATTAGGGCACCTTAACAACTGAAAAGAGTAATTGTAGGTGATTAAAGAAAACATAATTGTAGGTGATTTAAAATTATTGTAAAAACTTTTCAAATAGAAACTTTTAGTATCAATTAAAAAAAATTTAATTTCTAATACTATTCTTACAAAAACCCATTAAAAAAAAACCCATTAAAATTTAACAAATTTTCAATAAAACAATAGTAAAAGCAAATAGTATAAAGAAAAGAATAGAAAAAGATGATTTAGACAGTCAGCGTCATTATGATTAACAAGAGGTTCCGAGTTCGATAATAAGTGAATTAACAAAATAAAAAAAAAAAAATAAAAAAAAAAAAAAAAAAAAAAATTGTTCATATTTGGCTTCTGCCACCATGTACAAACTTTCCTTATTTTTAAGGTCTGTTTTATTAACAGCTTCATCTAGAATTGAAAAATATTCATTACTAAATAGAAAAGCATGTTTAACTGAAATGAAGGTGTTTAAATATATGGGAGATAAATATAATACTTTATTCCCCTTTGACTTTTCAAATATTTGAGCTTTAAAATGATGAGATGTCTTGTCATGAAACAGAAATTACATCCTGCACAAACAAATTTGTATTTATACTATATTTGACTTATTTTTTTTATTTATGTTATTTCACCTCCCTAAGGCCAAGAAGGTCAATACAGATGAGGAGGCTACTTAATTGTAGTTATAACACTCTCTCAACTCTATAATTCTCCTAAACACAAACCTTGACAAACAAGGCCGCTGCACGGAGAAACAAGTTGAGTGCGGTCATACCAGGGATGTGACGGGAATTGAACTCTGAACCTTTTGCTTATGAAGTGAGCATTCTACCACTTATTTACTTATTGGTATAACTCTATTGGTTGGACTTATTTACTGGCTGCACTTATTGGTTGCACTTAGTTATTAATTGCACTTATTGGTTGCCTTAATTTATTAGTTTCAGTTACTTATTGTTTGCTCTTACTTATTGGTTGCACTTATTTATTGGTTGCACTTATTCACTGGTTGCACTTATTAATTATTACTTCTTAGCTTAAGTTTTAATGAACAAATTTTTGCAAATTATTTTTAGCAAAGCAAATTTGTGTTTACAAACCTTTAGTAGCAAGTAAATCTGTTATTATTTTGCAATAATGTAAATGCTCAACAATTTTTGTGGGATTATATGAGCGATACTTTGCACCAGAAGCATATTGGGACTCGAGATTGTGAACTATAAATAGAGAAATTAAAAAAATAAAAACATTAAAATAAAACTTAAATAAACATACAAAGAACTTACTATTTGAATGAATCAATAAAGAATCAGAAATGTGTTTAAACAAAACAATAAGTTCTTTTCTGCCTTCCATTAGCATTGAACGCAACACAACAGCCAGTAAATTTTTCCCTACTTCAACAGACCTTGATAAACAGAATTCATTCCTATCATAGAGAAGAGACAGTTTACAAAATATTCCAATTAGATTGTATACATTTTCAATTTTGAGCTCTTTTATAGCAAATTTTAGCTGATCTGAAGACAGCATATTAACCAGACAATTAAATACATTCAACAAAATAGCAGTGTTTAACATTTCTGTTGATTTTATATGTATATGTTGAAATGCATACAGAACCTTGTCCATGTTATCTAAGGTCATGGCTTGGAGAGCATAGGGTTTAGAAAAATCTGAAAATTTAAAGATAGATTGTTCTTTTAATTGATCTGGAAAACCAAGAGGGTTCGGATTCTTCAAAATATATTCACTAGGCAAGTTTTGTCTATCACTTTTGTTTTGAAATTGCTTTAAAGGTTCAGTGAATTGACTTATACAGAAACTGAGGTTCTCATCTAGAATACAAGTGGTAATCAACATTATTATACAACTAATCAAATATAAAATTTTATAGAAAGAAAATAGTAATAATAACTTTTTAATCATATAACAAACACCTTGCAGTTCACCAAGAAGATCGGGAGCAAGACCAACATCAGTTGCTGAAAATGGATGCCTAAAATCACAAAATAAAATGCTACTAATAATACTTCTTTCCTATTTTATATTTTTAGAGATAAATAAAACAGTACACAGAGTGATTAAAAAAAATAAATAGTTTAATAATCTCAAAAGAATGAAAAATTCTTGAAAAAAAAAAAACATGTATCATTCAGGAGGCTGAATAAATGCAAACTGGCATATGTGTGAATTGGCATAAGTGCGCCGAACTAATTTGCAAACATTGGCATGAGTGCAAATTGGCATAAGTGCAAAGCAATTACAAAAACTGGCACAAGTGAGAACTGGCATAAGTTTGAATTGGTATAAGTGCGCCAAAAGAATTAGCAAACATTGGAATAAGTGCGAATTGTCATAAGTGTGAACCGGTATAAGTGCGAAGCAGTTACAAAAACTAGCATAAGTACAAACTGGCATAAGTGCGAATTGGAATAAGTGCGCCAAATAAAATTGCAAAAATTGGAATAAGTGCAAATTGGTATTTCGCACTTATGCCAGTTTGCACTTATGTCAATGTTTTCAAATTTATGAGATGTACTTATGCCAATTCGCGCTTATGCCAGTTCGCACTTATGCCGGTTTCTATAACTGCTTCGCAATTATGCCAGGTCACACTTATGCCAATGTTTGCAAATTTGTTCAGCGCACTTATGCCAGTTTGCACTTGTTCCACTTTTTGTAACTGATTCGCACTTATACCAGTTTGCACATATGCCAACTCGTACTTATGCCAGTTCGCACTTATTCAGTTGTCCCGTACCAGCCATTATTATGAAAAGGTAATATTTATAGCATGTAAAAAAATTTATTAAACATTTAAACATTATTTAATCATCACAAGCCACACATTGCACAATGTGGTATTGGTATAATGGTAGCCATGTAGTGGCAGTTAGCCTGTGGTACCTAGTGACAACTACCCAGTACATTTCTTACACTGTAAAGATACCAATCAACTTAAAACCTTAAACCTCTGGATCACATGATTTTAAAAAAATATAAAAATTGTGTTTTTATATATATCAAATATGAAAACACAAAAACTTGATTGGACACTTCAAATATGAAAACAAAACAACTTGATTGGACATCAGAGAGAGAATTTATATTTTCTTTATGTTTATAAATTAAAATCCATTCATTATACAAGATGTTGTCAGTTTAAAAAATCAGATAAATAAAATAGAAAAAAAAAAATAACTTTATATAATTGTCAAATATTGTTATAGCAATACAATTATTTTTAAAAAACAAAATTTTAACTTGCTAAAAAAATTTATCAAAATTTTTTTTTATTACAAGAACGTTTAAGCATAATTAAAAAATTAATTAAAAAATAAACAAAAATAAATTTACTAAATAACTAAAAAGAGAAGCATATTAAATGAAAATTTTTTTAAAAATATCAGATAATAATGATTATAGTTACCCTAATGGAACAGGCACTGAAATTTTTTCCTTTAAGTATTTTTTACGACAATCTTGACAAAGTAGATAATATGGTAACCCTAATCCTGAACCACATTTCCCTTCAAACCAACCACCAAGGTACATTCCATTACTACTATATCCATAGCTACCACCATCATCACTACTTTTGATTCTACCACAACCTGGATGATTCAAGTGCATATGTGAATTGAAATTAGTAACTTTTGTATTGCATATTTCACAACAAACACAGACCAACTTTATCTAAAGCATTAAAAACTGGTTACTTTTTTATTTTTGAACTGGTTACTTTTTTTATTTACAAATAAACTTTAAGTATTCTTAATGAAGAAATTTATAAAAATTGAAGTTAATTTATATAAATACTTACATAAATATTAACTTTTTGGATAAAATTTTTTTTCTCTAATTGTTTATTTAAAATTAAAGAAAAAAAAAAACACAATACAAATACCACACATTACACTAATACATAAAAAAAACACAATACAAATACCACACATTACACACAGCACAAACATTTAAAACAGTTAAAAATTTATTTTTCCAAAATATCATATAGTACATATTCTTGTATGTTTTCATTATTAAATAAATGCAATATTCACCTCATTTGTGAATTCACCCATTTCAAAATCATTATCGTCTGTATCAAGAGGATTGTCCTCTGTATCTGAATTAGGATGATCAATCAACCAACCAACAAGTCTCTGTATGGCCTGCTGAGCATTTTCAGTGTTTATATCATTGTTAATTTCAAGAGCCATACGAACTTGTGATTCTTCAAAGCCCATTCTTGTAAGCCTTTGGATATATTCAATTTGAGGTGAATCTTGTGAGCGAGGACTAAATAAAAGTTTTTAATTTTATCATATTTTTGATAATACAAGTGTGTCCATAGTTTTATGTTTTCAACTATTAAAAAAAGTGACATTATTAAGAAGAATATTATCTAATTATTAAGAGAAGCCATCCAACCATTAAGATTTTAAAACATGATTTAAAGAAACAGTATTACTTAAATTGCTAGTTTAGATTAGCATTTTGACATCTAACTGAAATAGCCTGCTGCCAGGGGCTTCAGTACATGCATCGACTGACAAATAGCCTGACTCACAGCGGGGTGCTGCTACATCGACTGAGGGTTTGGGATGGGGCAGCAATCTTTTCTTTCATTATTCTTTGTTTTTTTTTTCTTTTTCAAAAAATACGATAAACTATAAAGATAAGCAAATATAGTAAGCAAATGCTTATCTAAACCAGCTATAGAATATATATATATATATATATATATATATATATATATATATATATATATATATATATATATATATATATATATATATATATATATATATATATAAGTATGTAGAAAATAAAACTATGTGATTTTCACTACTTTAAGTTTCTTGCTATTGTAATCATCATAATTATTTAAAAATGGTTATGCAATATTTGAGTTAACTTGGTCTATCCTGAAAAGAGCCTCAAATGTTTACTTTCTTTATTTTACTTTATAAAGATGCATAAGAGTGAATAAAAAACGATTTTCATACTTATATAAACTTCATATTTAAATGGAATTTAATAATGGAAACATTTATTAATGGAAACTTATTTAACCCACATTAGAGAGGAACCATTGACATTTAAAAAAAATTATTTATAGAAACTTTTTTTATAGAAAATTATTTATAGAAAATTTTTAATAGCCAAGAGTCAGTCATAATGGGTTTTGCAAAGATGTAAATAAGTGTCATCAGATATGTTTCAATAGACCAAGATATTTATGTGAACATATTTAACATTAAAAGTATAATTAAATATTAGTGCACTTATTTCAAATCTGGTCCTCCATAGTTAATGCTAGATTCATTTCTTTTTGCTCTGTCATTTTATTTTGATTGTAATTCTTAACAATTGTAATAATAATGTGCCATTGGTGTAAAAAACTTGTACACTAATATCACATCACTATTAAAATAGAAAGAATGATTTGCTTTTCTGGTTTTAAAGTGCCAGAACTCAATTGATTGATTTCTCCATCAATGAAGCAAAAACTCAATTGATTGATTTCAAAATTTGATTGATTTCTCAATCAAAAAGGATATAAAGGTTTCTCAATATTTGTTATTGATAGTAAGAAAACCTGTACTTAAACCTATGGAGTGACATTACATAATGGTCATAAGTAGGACACTCACTTTAATAACAACCATCAAAAAATGCTGAGCTCAAAAGTTGGTTATCGATTGTCTGGCATCATATGGCATCTCGTATGATTTTATAAGTTATATTTATCATATCTTAGTTTTTTTGCATAAGGTACTTGAATTGTGTTTTCTTATATCTCTGTCAACCATAGAGAAACATATCAACCATAAAGAAACCTGCCGCAATTATTTGCAACAAGTACCCATGTCAACATTTAAAACCTATCAAAGATATGTTTCAGTCGAAAGTGAAAAGAGAATCAATTTTAATAAAGACAATAAATACTTCCGGCTATTCAAATAATTGTAAATATAAGTTTATATTATATTGATGCTCATAATGGTGGCTATCTATACAAAATTAGCAAGAGAAGTAATAAATCGATGGTGAAAAATTAAGAGAAGTAATAAAATAGTGAAAAACTTTGATTATTTAAAATTGTTATAGATAATTATTTATAAATAGAAAATATGTATGTTGGTAACACTAAATAATTACTCATTGCATGGCAACAATCACTCGCTGCATGGATGGTTGCATAATTATCAAAGCTAAAAAAAAATAATTCTCTACTTAACATTAAATTCATGTGTAGTCTCACTAACTTCACTTAAATTCAATTATCTTAAGTATGAATTTATGTATTTGTGTCAGCTATATATTCAGAGTTTATGTAAAAACATAGTTGTGTGTTTGTGTTATAAAACAACAATATTTTATATTCATACACTATATGTGTTTAAGAACTTCAAATAAAACTAAATGTTGTGATATTAGTATGCACAACAGTTGCGATATTAACATGCACAATAATCAACAGTTGTGATATTAACATGCACAATAATCAACAGTGGTGATATTAACATACACAATAATCAACAAATTTTTAGTTAAGATAAGAGTTTTTAAAAACAACTTGATTGGTGCATTTTTTTTGTGTACTTCTATTTTTACGTAAAACTTATTGCTGTACATGTTGTCATAGTTATCAAGTGAAAAATAAAATTATACAATTTTACAAACAATTAAAAACATTAAAAAAATTTAAAACAACAATAACTGATAAAATAGAGAAACTTACACAATTTGATCATTATCAACCAAAATATTTCTTGAAGTGTTAGGCAATATCCTGGGTCTCCTTAATCTATTCCTCATTCCAAATCGATTCCTCAATCCAGATAAATTCTGGTTGTTAGCTGGTGGAGATTGCATTAATGGTAGAGTCTGTGTAGGCAACGAAACTTGCAGTATTTGGTTAACAGCAGTGTTTTGGGATCTTCTTTTGCTAGTATTTTTATTGTTACTTTTTGAACTCAATAGGCTGCTTGCATTATATGTTTTGTTTTCCATATGGGTAATTTCATTTGCTAAAATCAATTAAATAATAAGTGAATTATATATTATCATAAAATGTATTTGGTTAGCTTTGATGTTTTCAAAAAATTATACCATTAATTTTAAACTCTGGTAAACCTTAAGTAAATAAAAAATTAAAAACCTTTAAAACTTAGTTGTTTTACACTGATTCTCTTATTAAAAAAAATTTGACTTTAAACTTACAAATATGGTCAAGGCTAAAGCTTGGTTGTTTGATTAAACACAACATAATGTTTATTGCTCTTTCACTTTCACTAAGAATCGGAAACTTTTTTAAAGGAGTTTTGATTTGATCTAATGGTGCTAAAATCAGCTTTAATGAAACAATCAACTCTTTTGAATAATCATTATTGACTCCGCCAAGTTTTTCTACCATTTCTGATATTTTATTAGTTTCATAGTATGAGGATAATGCTACCACAAACTCAGATGAATTTGTAATTAGACTAATCGATTTCAAATTTAAAAAATATATGGCATAATAGACATTTGATACAAATAAAAAATGATTTTTCTCAATATTAGAAAAATTCCTTTGTTTTTCGTCAGAAGAATTATACTGAATATCAAAATCTTTTAAAAAATTGTTTATTGTACAAAATAGTTCCAGTAATTCAACAACAGAAAGTCCAAACAAAGAAAGTGGTACTGGATCAGATCTCAACTTGCTGGAAAGCATTTCTCTATATAGAAAATAATCGTAACAATTATTATTATTTATAAAAAAATTTACTATTAAATTTGAGCTTTTATTTTCAATAAATTTAGTTATTAAAAGGAGATATTATATAAAAAGAAGAAAAAAAAGTTACAAACTGAAAAATTATACTGACTGAAGAACAGGTTGGTCAAGCCACTGTACAGCTACCTTATCATCTCCTGTTGTACCTAGTATGATTCCTTTTCTTTCAGCTTCAGATATACATTTTTGACCTCGAATTAATCCACTATCTACTCCACTCATAACACTTAACAAAGGAAAAACTATTTTACAAAATGTAGAAACACATTCATAGTTCATCTAAAAGAAAAAAGTCACATAAAAACTTTTGTTTACTGTTTATTTTTCCAAAAATATACCTGGAATCTGAATTAAAATATGCTAATCAATGTAAATCTTGTGAAATCAACATATATATATATATATATATATATATATATATATATATATATATATATATATATATATATATATATATATATATATATATATATATATATATATATATATATATATATACACATATATATATATATATATATACTTCTGTATTATATATTGAAATATTTTATGTATTTATATATTAAGCATTAATGATTGAAAACAACAATATGAAAAACAATTAAAAAAAAACCTGAAAGTCATTTATATCTTTCAAAGTCAAACACATTGCTCTGATTTGATTTGTAAACATATTTTCCCAGTCTTTTTTAACTGCAAGTTCAACTACAATTCTTCTTATTTGTTCACACAAAGTAACTGGTGACGGTGCACATATTGGTTCTTCAAGCAAAAATACAGGTTTTGTTTTTATTTTTTTTAAATCTTTAATTGTTACCTAGTTATCAAAGTTTATGAGTTAAAATTGCGTAATATGCTTGGAATTGAATTTTAAAAATCTATAAAAAATAAAATAAATAAAAAATTACTTTTGAGCCTGGGGTAGAATTATAGAACACTACAATAGGATAGTAAGTGTCATTTGGTAAATTTTCAAAAGCTGTAGTAACTACATCACCATTTTTGCTACAAGACAGAATTCTCTTACTACTGTTGAAATGAAACTTTATAAAGTCATTTTGTGTAAAACTAGGAAGTTTTGAACATTTTTCCCCCTCGTGATAAAGATAGCCATTTGATCCATGATAAAGCCACATGTTAGTTGCACTTTCATAAGAGTATTCAGAGAAAGGATGTTTGCATATACCAATAAATATACCTGGGTCGTTATTAGCATCATGATTGACATAGACCTGCAATTTTAAAGTAATAATAAAAAAAGAATCTTCTAATGCCATGTTTCTGCTTGTTAGTCACTTTACATTCATTATTACTTTTAACACACACAGACACACACACACACACACACACACACACACACAGATCCAAAATTTCTTTTAAACGCTAAAAATTTAAATATTTTCATAAACAAGACGAACTTTTTTAATTTGTAAAACTATTTTAATAATAAAAAACAATACATGTTTTGACTAACGCTAGTCATCTTCAGTTAAAGTTAAATATTTAAACTTTGTTAAAATACCTATGAATGTAATTATTCTTGTACAAACAATTAGTAAAATAATTACACAATTACAATATAATCAATTAAAAAGTTTTAGATTCAGCATCTGTATATATATATATATACATATATATATATATATATATATATATATATATATATATATATATATATATATATATATATATATATATATATATATATATATATATATATATATATATATATATATATATATATATATATATATATATATATATATATATATATATATATACAGTGTAGGGCTGTTCAGTATGCTAATTTGTTTTGAGAACATAGCTAATTGAAATTTTTTCCATACGACTATCATATTGTGGTTTGAAAATATTTTTCACTAAGTTTTATTATTTGCCCTGAAAGTCCCTCAAAGCCCCCAAACATTTGACAGGTCCCTAATATTATTAAAAAAAAAATTATTTAAAAATATGTCAACCTGGTACTCAAAAGAAGCAAAATCATTTAAAAATTTCAAAAACAAAAAATGTTTTTTATAAAAATAACAATTTTAGATTTTTTTGAATAAAAACTATGGTTTTTAAACAAAAAATGAAAAAAAGGTAATATTTACAACATTTTTAATAATAAGTTTTTTTAAGTTGTTTTTTATAAAAAATGAATCTAATTTTTAAAATTTTTTCAAAATTTTGCTTCTTTTGAGTACCAATTTGACATATTTTTAAATAATTTTTTTTTTAATAATATTAGGGACCTGTCAAATGTTTAGTTGCTTTGAGGGACCTTTAGGGCAAATAATAAAATTTAGTAAAAAATATTTTTGAACCACAATATGATAGTTGAATGGGAAAAACTTCAATTAGCTATGTTCTGAAAACAAATTAGCATACTGAACAGCCCTAATACAGTGATTGTGATAGAAGTTATAGAAACTCAATTTAGAGAGATTCTATTTTTCAAAAAACTGAAGTTTCATAAATAGTTTTAGCATGAAAAATATTCTGCTTTCTGAAATTATTTTTAAAATCTTCAACCTAATAAAGAAAATTAATACTTCCATTCATAAAATTTTTCATTTAATGGTTAATCAACAACTTAATAAATTTATTTAATTTAAATTTAGTAAACCCTTCAACTAATAAAAAAAATACCTTCCATTCAAAAGATTTTTCATTCAATGGAAAATCTACAACTGCATAACCTGAGTTTCCATCTAAGTGGACAACTGTTGAATTATCTTTAATCATGATATTTTTTGTATTGGGTTTTATAAAGAATGAAGTGCAGTCACTTGACTTATTAACAAAAGTTCTAGATTCATATGGATCAACCCAAATAAATTTATACATCAAACAAAAAAGTCTGTTGATGATCTGTAATAAAACAATACTAACCATAACTTTAAATTTTTTATCACAAATGAAAAATAAAATATACAGAAATTGTGTTACCTGTTTCTGACATAAACTTGATTGCACTTTTGAACTCAAAATAACTTTTAAAAGCTTGATAACAACAATTTGAAGATAAAATTCACAATATCTCTTTTGTTCTTCAAAAAAAATAAAAAAAAATAAATTGCAAATAAAATATAACAAACAAGTTCTCTATTACTTAATAATTACAACCATGAAAAAGCACATTTCTAAGAAATAACTAAACATTAGTTTAACAAAGGCATCAACTGAACTCAAATATTATAAAATAATATTTTATAAGGATATCATATATCTTCATATTCATAATAAAATATATAAACATTTTATTACTAAAATATATGGAAATGTCCTAACTTTTCATTTATCATTATTATATATCAATATTTCCAATGACATCACAAATGGAGGAAGCGTTTGTTGAACAGTGAAAATTAAAAGAAAAAGTTTTATGAAGAAAAAATAAATCAAAAAATATTTTGGTAATAAAAGTTTAAAAAATAAGTGTATAAACAAGAATTAAGGATTTAAATAAATAAAAATAAAAAACAAGAAAAAAAAACAAATAAAAACAAAGTTAAAAGAAAAAAGTCTTCGAAAATGGAAAATAATAAAAAATAACTAAAATTTTTTCTTCCACCAATATTTTATGGAAAAAAAAGAAAAAAGGAACAATTTTAATCAATTTTGTACATTGTTTATATGTTATTTATGCATATAAAAAATGTTTAATGTATTCATTTTTCTCTGTCAATTTAGTTGTTGCTGCTTTTTCTATATATTGATATTTACTTTTGTTTAACTAATCTATGTAATGCGAAATATAGGCTTTAATATTGAATGTAGTAGTGAATGTATATATTTTCTTATATTTAAGTTAGCCTTTGTTTTGCTTTTTTATATTTTTCTGCAAAAAAATTTTTCTCTCACTCTATCCTTCTGAACTTATGTGATTAAAATTTTCGTTTTCTATTACACTTTTTTCTCACTCATCTTATCTCATGCGTTTTTTTTTGTCACTTTTCTTAGCCTTACTTTTTTATATTTTTGTTCTGATTACTTCTTTTTTTATTACTTGTATTAATGTAGTTTACATTCTTATTTCCTTGGTTTAATATTTTTTTATTTTATTTGTTTATTTTATTAAGGTGTCACTCCATTGATTAGTTTTTAACACTATGAGTGATACCAAACTTTATATAATTATAATAACTTTATGTTGATATTTACCAAAACTTTGTAAATTTTAATTAAATTGATTATTTTTGATTTAATGGTTAAACAAATAAATAAAAAAAAATAATTATGTTTTATATTATGATAATTATCATGTAATGGTTATTATGGTTATTATTTTGTAATAACTTGAACAAGGAGGAATGAAGTATATAATGAAATGACAATATTTATTCTTACGCTTTTTTTACAAATATTTTTTAATCATGTTGAAGAAAATTTTATTCAGGAAAATATTATCTACCCCTGATAATTTTTTCCCCCATTATAATATACTTAGCTTTTTTTTTAAAAAAAAGGAAATAAAACTTTCCATCAGGATGGATGGAAAATAAATAATTCACGCAGTAGCTCTGATATGTACATTCTCACTATTAAAAAAACTATAGGTAAATACAGTTAATTCCCAATTACTTGAACCTCCAAGGGAATAAGTAAAATAGTTTGACTTAATGAATATTAAAGTGAAATCCTGTTGAATTATAGCTGATTATATCAGGCAAAATTAGATATTAGTTCAAGTTAAGGTAATTTTACTATGCTACAGTATAAACATTAAATATTCTCCATTATACAAATAAAAAGCGTAAAAAATGTTCAAGTGAAATATGCCATGTATTGTATTCACGCTATACACTTAAAGGATAAAAGGATAAAATTGATAAAAAGTTTAGCAACACAATGACTTCCTTACTATTTGGTAATAAAAGTGCATCTAAAAGCTAGTGATCTTTTATTAAGGAATTTATTAACAATATAAAATAATTGCTTTTTTTATCAATATTTTATTATGATTTAACAATCTTATTATAGCATTATTTTACATCTAATAACGATACTTTTAGATCTAAATACAACAAATATATCAGGCTACTATTAATTATGTTTTATATGGAATGAATTTTTAAAAATTAACTTTAATTAAATTACTTTGCCTTCATTATTCACCGCCCTCCTCCCCCCTCCCCTCTCAAAAAAAAGTTTGAGTTAATCAAAGAAATTTGTTCAAAGGGAACAAAAAAAAAAAAAAAAGGTTTGACTTAACAAAGTTTGAGTTATCTGATGTTCAACTTAACCAAAGAACTTTAATAGTAATCAATTAAACGATATCAAGGGACCAAACGAAACAGTTTGAGATAAAAAAAAGTTTGAGGTAACCAAGTGCTCGACTTACCAGGAACGAAGTTTAATTTTTAGTTTAATATTTAGCCATTTATATTTCAAAATGTACACAATGTGTACATTCTTGTACATTAAAAGTCAGGTAAATAGTTTAACTTTTAGTTTAATCAATTAATTATTAAATTTTATTTATTGAATTGTAGATATTTACATTTCAGTCATAGAGCTTGATAAATGTTACCATAGCTATTTGCATTCAAAACAAATTTCTTGCTAATTTACCAGTTCATTTGTCACACATTCTGCAGCCACTTGATGTTGATATTTATTCCCAGGTCAAAACAGTTTGATGAAAACTTTAAAAGTTTTATGCAAATTATTTAGCAAGTTTTCAAAAGAATGACATCAGCAATGACATCAGCAACCAGAATATTTTTAGCTCTAATGAAGTTTTTTACACACACACAAACAGCCACTAATTTTTAAAATACTGGTTTATTTCCACTTGACACCAGTGAAATCGATAAGTCAAAATTACAAACTACTATTTTACTATAGAAACGCTATTTAAAAGAAACTTAAAAAAAAGTTTAAAAGATGGGCTTATGTATTTTATGTATTTTTGTTGTCTCAATAAATTTAAAATACTTGAGAAATTGAAACATGCTAAAAGCAAAAAAACAGCTAGCAAGCTAGAAAAGGTAAGCTTAACTTTGAAGAACATCAAATAAATCAAGTCAAACCAGCAACTCTAACAGCAACAGCAAACAAGTTAAGTGTAAAAAGTGCTGTAGAGTTTTGGGTGAAGGTTCAATAAGTCAAAACAGTGAATTGTATCAGTGTAAAACTTTAATAAGTAAGATTTAGTTTTATCAAATATGCATACCAAACAATATGAAACAGGTACAGAGTTTATTACATCAAAAAATGTTACAAAAGTGATAACCTCACTCAACTGCCAGAATCTCTCAACAACATCACCACAAGAATTTTTATTATTGATTGGTTTTTTAAAATGTTATCATTGATTGGTTTTATTTAGTGTTTAAAAGATGATCTTTTAACTTTGAAAGTAAAAATATTATAGCATTAAATTATTATTGCATGGCTGCCTTAAAGCTATATTTGCAACAAAAAACAGTATGCTATTATTATTATTATTATTATTATTATTATTATTATTATTATTACTACTATTATTATTATTATTATTATTATTATTGTTATTATTATTATTATATCACCTATTAAGTGAAACAAGATAAATCATCAATTTTATGACAAGAAATAACAGATCATTAAAACCATTGTAAAAAAAATATAATAACAAATTGTTGAAAAATTGCTGTGTTTTATATTTAAAAACATATTTCTATTTAAAGCAGATAATGACAAAAAAAAACAAAAAAAAAAACAAAAAAAAACTTGTAACTAATAAAAATAAATTGCAACTAATAAAAACTTTAACATCTAAACTAGAGAAAAATTTTTTTATACAATTGATGGCATAAAATAATTTTTAATAAAATACCTAAATACTCAAGCAACATATCAATCCAATCATGTTCACATAAATTTTTGCATATAATTGTACTCATAAGACAACACCTTTTAATTACTGTAAGTTGCCCAATCTCTTTTTTAAAGTTTTTATGTTGTTGATTTATAAAGTTTGATGGCAAAAGCAACCAGTTTTTAATGTCTTTGTGCACTTCTTTGAATAATATATTTATTGATGTTAGTTTTATCAAGTCAGAGTGTGACCTGTAAAAACATAAAAAAAAGTTTAAAAATCAAAATGGTTTCTCAAAACACTTTTCTCAATGTAATGAGCAAGAAAAGTTGTATAAAATCTTACGCCACATATACAAGAAGTGCTTTTTTGAACCTATCAGGAAACAGTCGGTAGTGACTACACAAAGTTGGTGATAATATAACATTTGAAACAGAATCAGAAAATGAAGACATCAATACAGAAGACTTCAAAATCCTCATATAATTTGTAAACTCAAGCTCTTTCACTGGTGAAAACTCATTAAACTGATTTAACATAAACCCAACAGTAATTCCATCATCAAAATTTTCTTGTTCACTAGAACTAACTTCATTTTGATATGTCTCTTCTTGATTGGCAAATATTCTCAAAACAGTTTCTTGATAACTCAAAATCTGTGTTTTTAGACTCAAAGGAACAGACACAATACCATTCTAGAACAGAGATAATGAGTTAACAGAGTTTAAAGTTAAGCAATACAGATTTCTTTTAGAATGAATAAAATGACTAAAAAACAAAAAATATAGAGAATAAGCACTAAAAATAAAATAAATAAAATAAATTTGTACAATTTAAAAAAAAAAAGGGATGAAATTTCTACAACTTAAAATAAAAAATTTTAATTTAATAAAAAATTTTTTAATAATATTTTAATAGTGATGTATATTTACTTTTAAATTTTGATTTAAAATTGTACATTTATAAATAGTGATGTATATTTACCATTAAATTTTGATTTAAAATTTTCCGGGTAAAAAAAAAAAAAATACAAAAAAAAATTTATGTGAGATATGGAACCTAGTATTCAACCAACCAGACATTTTTGACAATATGTACTTTCAAAACATGCCTCAATATTTCATTGAAAACACAATATAATACTTGCTTCATATTTTTTGGTGAAATGACTAAAATAATTTTTTGGTGAAATGACTAAAAAAATTTCACTTATTAAAGAGCATTAATTAAAAATGCTAAGGCCTGAGTGCTAGAATCAGTGCTAGATTAACAATAGGGGTTTTATTTTGAATCAGGGCCCTGCAGTTTTGGGTGCCCTGATACAAAATAAATAAATAAAAAATTTAATCTTTGATTAATGATATAGAAAGGGGCCTCCTCTTTTATTATAGCCTTGGTCCCCAAAAAGTCTTAATCCGCCAATGGATTTAATGCAAGATAAGCAAATGAAGCCCTGTTGTATTGACTGGAATCAAAAAGTAAGCAACAACCCTAGGTAATAGAGTTTTACATAATACCAATTTTTTTTTAAAAACCTAATGTTCTTTTTTAAATTTACACATTTTTTACAATTTACACAATTTTTTTACACATTTTTTACAATTTACACTCAATTCAACCGCAATGAACAGTCTAGCAACAGTCTTGCCATTTTGTCTCAATATTACTTTTAATAGAGACTATTTTATATTAAAACCAGATATCTTTTTTCATATTGCAAATTTTGAAAAGCTTTTAGCTTTTCAAAATTTGTGATATGAAAAAAGATATCTCGTTTTAGTATAAAAAAGATATCTTTTTTTAGTCCTACAACTTATATGCTATAATATGGTGCATTAAAAATGTGCATAAAATAAACTTGATTTCAAGTTTTATAAAAGAATCTAATTTAAATGGCGATGGTGCAGTGGTTAGAGCAATATAATATCTAATTAATATGCTTTAGAAGCAGGAGATCTAGGATTTGAAGCAAGCTCTGGACATATTTTACGTCATCAGTAATAAAGGCATGAACTTCCTAGTTAAATGCTATTCTGTGGTGCTCTGTGACAAAACTTTTAGGTCTTTTTGGGGCATCTAAAATAACAAAAAAAAAAAAAAAAAAAAAAAAAAGATTAAACAAACATTTCACAACGTATATATTTTTACAGCTATATTACATGTGATAAAATGAAACTTTTTTATTCAACAATTAACATCGTCTTTATTTTTAATAAAAAATTTTTTAACAAAATTTTTTAATATTTACTTGTAAATTTTACCTTTGCAACACTATTTACAAAATAATCTAAATTAATTTTTTAACTGATTTCTAACATTACTTTAAAAACTTACAAGGCACATAAATTGTTTTCCACCAATGCATTCTATTCTTTTACCAAATGCTGCACTAAGAAAATGAAGTTGACACATTGGAATAATAGCATCAGATGGTGTATTAGCTTTGATTTTATTGTTAAAAACACTGTTTAATATAAACTCTGCAAGAAGCTTTAAACAATCAAGTCTAAACTGAAGAAAACAACATAAAACAAAGTAGTTAAATAAAAAGTAATAATAAAAAATATGAGTAATAATAAAAAATAAATAATGAGTAAATTATAATATATATATATAATAAATATTAGCATTTAGCTAATTCCTGATACTGCGGGTAACAGTAATATATACTATATACTATATACTATATATATATATATATATATATGTATATATATATATATATATATATATATATATATATATATATATATATATATATATATATATATATATATATATATATATATATATATATATATACATATATATAGGTTTGGTCAGGAAGGCATGCAACTTCACGGCTTTATATGACCACGCAAATGGTATTTTGTTTTGACGATTTGACCACAGTTTTAACATTTTATTAAAGCACTGAAAAAACTTCTTAACTTAGTTATAAAGAAACTAAAAAAAAAATCAAAAAAATTTAAACAAAACTTTACTAAAATAAATAATAAACGATAAGATTATTCAAATTACAACTACGTTTGAAATAAATAACTTTGAATCTTTACCAATGTTTTTATAATGTAAAACTCGTAGTATCTTGTCTGCTTTTTTACCGCACCATATAAAATCACATTATTAGTAAAAAAAATTAATTCAAACGGCTGTTTTTAATTCAAAAGTTAGTCTTTTTTTCTTAACAAAATTTTTTCAAGTGTAATAATTTTAATTATTCTTAAATAAAGTTTATTAAAGAGACAATCATTGTTTAAAGTCATTGCTTATAAAATTTAAATAATTAAAAAATAAATAAGATTAGTTATAAAAAATCTTGTATATTATTTTATTAATTAATTATATTATCTTATATATTTAAATAATATAAATAAAACTTTCATCTATACTTTAAATTAAACATTAACAAAAACTGTTACTTTTTTTGAAAGCATTATGCTAATTAATTAATTAAATATAAAAACGTTAGTAAAGATAAAAGTTTTAAAATTATTAATATTTGACATAATTAAAAAAATTTTTTTTTCAGCAAATTTTTAAAATTTTAAAAACCGTGGTCAAAATGTCAAAATAAAGAACTATTTGCGTGGTCATAAAATGGTGTACGATCGCACGCCTTCCTGACCAAGCCTATATATACATTATATATATATATATATATATATATATATATATATATATATATATATATATATATATATATATATATATATATATATATATATATATATATATATATATATATATATATATATATATATATATATATATATATATGTATATATTAGGGCCCTGGCAATCGATTTGATTCAGGAATCAAGTGTCTTCATTTTTGAATCACTATTTTTTGGGTGAGAGTTGTTGTTTTCTTATGTATCCAACGCTAAGATGCTATCAAAATGTTTTTAATAAAGAAATAAAAAAATTGTAACTAAAAGTAATTGTTTAACTGCTTCCAAACAACGGCTAAAAAATTTTCCGCGCAAAGAAATTTTTTTTAACTAGATTTAAAAAAAAAAAAAAAAAGCTTAAGTTTAGATTTCTTTATATTGCTGATTTGATTCAATTCATAAATCAAGACCAGCTTTAATTATAGATTTGATTCAAAACTAAAAATGCTGATTTGCAGGGCCCTAATATAAATATATAAACAAAATACTTTTAGCATACTTGAGCCCTGTGCAGCTGTTGTTGTTGCACGGTAATAAGGACACTTTCAAGATTATCTATATTAACTGATGATTTAATTGTTAAGATAATATCTCTACATTTATTTTTCAAAACTTCTAAAGAATCGATTGTATTACCAGCTTTAATTGCAAATATATGTATTGCACATGTACATATCAAAGAACAACAACTTTCCAATATATTATCTAGACAAATTTGAAAAGAAACTTTTTTGCATAATTAAACATAAATTAAATATCATGTAATACTCTTGATTAGGGTGACACAAAGTAGGGTCAAAAATGAAATTTTTCGAAAATCAATAACTGCAGTTGCTTATTCTGTTCTACAACATTCAATTAGTCTAAATACAAAATATTACTTATTTTTGTTTGTTGGAAGTGCTACAAGTAATTTTTCAAATATTGAGGATTGGCTGAACTTTATGTCATTTTTTACGGGTTAAAATATGTTTATAACTAAACTTTTGTTTGATCTTATAAGAAAAAAAACAATGTTTACAGTTTCATACAGTTAGCTATTATTTTACAATAATTTTTCAACTCTAGGTTTTTATTTTACCAGTTCATTAAGTGACATATCTTTTGTTATAAGTTTCCTATGCTCCCTGACTACCAGAAGAATGTTCTGTCTCTGTTCTTTATTGTGGGAACTGTCATTGTGGGAACTGTGAACAAAGTTTTCAATTAAACAAATATTTCTTTTTGTGCAGTCGTTGGTCACACTAAGATTGCAAACTAACTGAGTGAAATGTTTGTATGAATCTGGCACTAAGAAATCACTTGAAGTATGCTACTCTTGAGTAGATTTGGTGTGACCTGTAAGTATAAAAAAAAGCCAACTCTCCTTCGTAATTAAATCCTTTAATTGACTGGTAATCACTGGTAACAATAACAGCACAAGGAGCTTCTACAGAAATCTCTGATAATCCAGGAACTGGAAATTTTAAAAGTTTCTCAATAATTAAACAATTAGCATCTGTTTTCAAATGAGGATCACCTAACAATAGTGTGACAACTTTAGGAAACAAATACCATGTGTGGTAAATAAACTAAATAAACTCACTTCAGAAAAGCATGAGTAACCACTCATGCTTTTCTGAAGTAAGTTTCCAACTTCATAATCCCATTCTGTTTGAATTGTTTCAGCAATTTTGAATGCATTAAAATCATTTAAAACAGCATACTCTGCTTTGCCTGATTTAAAAATGGCAGGTCCAGAATAAATAGCAAAAATAAATTAAAAAAAAAACTAATAAAAAAAAAAACTATGCTTGAGACCATATGTTTTTTTTCAGGAGTCATATATTCAATGACTGTGGATGTCATATCAAGCATCAGAAAGCATAATGCATAGGCCATAAACCTTGCATTGTGAGAGGTGCCAGGCTGATAGATGTGAAAACTATTTAATTTCTCAGATTTAACATTCATGTAATATGCCAAATATTTAACAAGATGCCTATAATCATTCCTAAAATATTCCTAATTTTATTTAATATCCTTTAAAAAAAAAGTATATTTATGGAAAAACTAATTCATTTTATATTTTTTTTACATACCTGGGGAAGATTTCATGTACTTGTGTTTTAGTTACAAACTTTTCAGACTTCAAATAGAGTTTGCAGACATCACTGCCAACAATAAGGTCTTGCTCAGGAAATCATTTGAACTTTTCTACAGCAACATTGGCTGAAACTTTTGGAAAAAATTCTGTTATCCATTTCTTCTGAAAATCTTTTAGCAACTTTTTTGCAGGGACATTTCCTATGAAATTGTCTTAAAAGCCCAAGTAATATTTACCTGGGCAATATGATGTCTACACAATAACCAAAGATATACCAAGAAATCTTGACATGATAGTTATTGCACCAGATTTTGATCCAGTGTTACTTACTGTAGTGTCAGAACAGAATCCTACAATATGGTCACAAATTTTAAAATATTCTAGGAGATTCATAATACTTATAGCCATATTGATTTCCTTACCACTATCAGTTGGCACAACACCAAGTAAAAGATCATCTTTGGTTTCAAACTTCAGGCTAGTTACAGATACTGATAGTCTTTCTGCAGTAGTTGCCTGTCTAGTGTCCTCCTAAATATGCCTTAAATTATAACATCAAAATGTAAAACTAAATGTAAAACATCTTGATAGCCATTAAATCAATATATTTATTATGTATCTGGCCTCCTTCCTATTTTAAAAATCTGTAGCGCCGCCTTCTGACAGATTCTCTGCTCAACTGTAGCTGATTAACGCCTCCTCCTAAATAGTTTATTACGCTTGCAATAAGAAGGGTTTGATCTTGAATGCTGAGACCCGGCCTTTTACTGGTGGAAGTTGTTGCTGCAATGAGACCCTCACTGATTATCTCTTTTTCAGAAGTATGCTGGTCTAAATTGATGCCTACTTTTTGAGTTTGCTTCGTGAAAGTTAACATTATTATTTAGGACAAAAACTTCCGACTATTTTACACTTCCAATTACACTTCCAGCATCTAAATTAATATAAAGATTTTGAACTCAGTTATACATTTACTTCAAAAACTAATTTTACCTAAAATGCCCATGCATTATTAGAAAAAATTGTTTATAATCTCCATTTTTATTTAATCAGTTAAAACAAATATTTTTATGTGTTAAAATTATACTTTAATTACCTAATTGTGATTCAGCTCTTGTTTTTTTAGGTTCTGTAGGTTCCTCATTTGCGAAATTGAAATCTATATCATTGTTATGAAAAAAGTTTTGATTCTATTGCCTTTTTTCACCAATTTCCTCTTTATTATCACAAATTATCAAATTATTGCACTTCTGTGCTCGATCTTTGTATTCTTCTTTCCTCTTGTATCTATCAATCTTTCTCTGAAACCTTGCTTCAAGCTCTGTGTTAATTTTAGAAGATATGATCATATTTTTGTTAGTTCTGTGCAAAAAGTTTTTAAAACACTTAGCGTAAGATAAATTTTAATAAAAAAACAAAATTTCTCAAAAAAATGATTTTTTATATTTGGGAAAAATTAGTAGATGTCTTAATTGAAAAATAGGTTAAATCTTCACAAAAAAAAAGGAACAAAAAATAACTTTGATCATCTAAGAAGGCCTAATCATCTTGTAAAGCAGAAGTATTACAAGGCATTTATTCATCGTGTCTCAACTTTATTTCAAAGTCTTTTGCACTGATGTCAAACAATCGCTCTACCATATTGTAAAAATAATTTTTGTGGCGTTCAGAAATTTGCTTTTTGATTTGAAAGGTTTTACTGCTGCACAAAGTTTTGTATTTGCTGTAAAGAGATTTAAACTTTTCCACTATACACAGTAATTACTTGATTTCTCTCAGAAATCAAGTAACTACTGCTGGTTTCAGTAATTACTAGTAATTACTGAAACCAGCAGACTTTCAAATATTTACAATTTGTTGGAGTAAACAGTATTTTCAGTATTAGAATTACAAAACTCGTCTTTTCCTTTGCATATAACATCCTTTAGTACTCGAGAACATAAAAAGTTTGTTTTAATAGGTTTGAATCGCTTATCTCCAGCTGAAGTTAGGAACAAATAATATCAAAAAACACTTCTGTTCGATGGAAGTTAGTTTGTAGGTAGATAGCTTAAAGGCAAGTTAAGCAGGTAAGCAGACCTACGAGCGTTATAGCTAATTTCTTTCGTTTTCCTCTATTTGATTTTCAACATTTTGTACGGATATGTAAAAAGTAAAAAAAAAAAATCCAAGTTTAAAGCAAGATAATTAATAAACCAAAAGTTGCCAAGTGATACAAATACAAACCAATAAGTCTATGGTACAATCAAAATTTTAAAAAAATAATTGTGAATGACCACAAAGTTTCAAAAACATCTTGAGTTTTTGACACATATTTTAAAAACTTGCTGAATGATGTGAAGTTAATAAAATAATGCGAAGAAATAAAAAAGGCTTGGAACGTAAATAATTTTCAAATTTACATGTAGCTCTTCCTGATCACTAAGAGATCTAAAATTTTTTTCGTAGACCTTCGAAGTTTGGTAGAACTAAAAAATGTATTGCAGCTTTTTTTTTTTTTTAAACTTTGTGTCACCCTACTGTTTACCAACATTGTTTCATATTTTGTAACCAAAAAATATTTAAAAAAAATAGTAGAAAAACATTAAAAAATAAAAAATATTAAACAAATCAATTCATACCCATGAACAAAAATATTAAGTAATATTGTAAATTTAAATTTCTGAAAACAAATTTATTTAATAACCTTCATTTTTTTCTTCATCATTCATATCTTTTAAAATTAAGTTTTCAACTAGATTGAAGCAGCTATCAAAAACTACAGTTAGTACTCTGTCAGAACTAAAAAAACAAGGATAAAAGAAACTACTTGTTTTTAAAAAAAATCCTTTTAAAACCATTAATAAGTAGTCTAAAACAAAATTTTGAATAAAAAATATTATTTTCATTCAGGCTGAAGTACGACTCAGTTTCTTATTGGAGTACAAAATACCCGATAAGAAACTGAGTTTAAAGTGTCAAATTTAAGTAAAACTGCGGATAACCAAATTGATAGTTATTGCTAAAGTTAAAAATTTTAAAATATACTATAAAATATATAAATACAGTAAACTTATAATTACCATTTTCCATTAATTACATTGTCTATCAAACCACAATGATGGATGACAGCAGCCAATACGTAACGCATGCAAGTCTTAAATAGTTCATTTTCAATGTTGCAGATACCTAATGTTAAAAACGTTTTTAAAAGAACTTTTAAATTATTTCAAAACCATTATTTGTTGTACAATGTAATAAAAAAAACATGCAATACAGCGCATACTAACAATTTTTTTGTAATATTTCAACCTCTTCTGCTCGCCATCAGACATAAAGTACAATCAAACATACAAAGAAAATTTTCCAAAAACATAAAAAAAGATATTACAATGAATAAAATATAACATTTCATCTCTTCAGCCATTTGAGCATGAATAATTTTGAAGTTCTCTTACTTTTTGAATTTAATTTTGATTTAATATTGCTTAAGATGGTTTTTAATGTAAAAAGTAAAGTGGTAATGCAAGTTTAGCTATATCTTAACTATGTTTTAATTTGTTTTCTTTTAGGTTTCAATTGTATTAGAGGGGTTGCATTTTCATTGAAGATTTAATGTTTCACTGCCATTTTTGACAAATATGTTGACTCAGATCTGAATTTTGATTTTTAAAATACTTCACTGCCATAAATATTATGGAATACTTAATTGGATGCATTCAAAAACCTTGCAATAATGTCAGGTTATCAAATTTGAAATTAAAGAGAATCTCAAAATTAAATAATACAATGCAAAATTATCTTGTAACAGTTGAAGGTTTATGAAAATCATCTAATTTTGATTATATTTAAGTCTGATGATCTGTGCAACAGAGAAATATTATGAAAATATAGTAGGCTGTTGTATCTTTTTTAACTCTTGTGTGCATTTTTTATTTAACTTTAAAATTGAGACTTATTATTTATTAAATAATTATGAAGACTTTTTATTACCAAATTATTATTAAGTCTACTACCATACTTGGTATGTCTACTACTATACTTGGTAAGACTACTACCATACATGGTATGTCTACTACCATACTTGGTAAGTCTACTACCATATTTGGCATGTTCTGTTTAATCAAAAAAACTTGAATTAAAAAATAGATTTAAAACATTACTATTTGTTACGTAAAAATTTTATTTACCTTTCAATGTTATTATACAACTTATAATAATTTATAACTTTAATTATTTTTATTTTACTTTGAGTTAAAAATCAAAATTTGTGGTTAAAATTAACAGTATATAATTCACAAAATTATAAATTAAACAACTCAATGTATTAAGTCATAACATAAACAACCCTGGTTGGTAACAAAAACTCATGACATAAAAAACTCCAAATGTTAAAATAAACAACTCTGGTTTATGTAATGATGTAAATTATTCTATTTTATAATTTAATTTTTTACATTTTTTAAAATCTTTTGTTAATACTTCATAGATGGTTTATTTGTTAACATAAAACTTGTAATTTATTAATAATCCCAATAAAATACAATCATATTATTTATTCATAGTATTGTATCATTTATTTATAGTATCATTTTATTTATTCATAGTATTATATTATTTATTAATAGTATCATATTTATTCATAGTATTATATTATTTATTCATTGTATCATATTTATTCATAGTATCATGTTATTTATTCATATTATCATATTATTTATTGATAATATCATATTATTTATTCATAGCATCATATTGTTTATTTAAAGATTCATAGTATTTGAATATTCAAAGAATCATGATATTTGACAAAATGAGTAATAGTTATAAAAACAGAACGAATTGGAAATAAATATTCACCTGTTTGTACAGCATGGTCAAACATTCCTTGTGAAAGTTTAAACAAAGTCGGAGTGTAAGGGCCATTTGCTAATTCTAACAAGAAGCTAGTTTGATTTGGCACTTCAGTAGATATTGATAAATTTAAAACAATTTGTTTGTTAGCTTTAATTTTGTTCAAACATTCAGTTAATGCATGATCTAAGGCAAAAAAAAAAGTACGATATATAAATACATACACATGCATACATACATACATACATACCTACAGTTTATTGCTTGCAGTTTATTTAAATTGCTTTAAAATATAAACATTTATTTTATATTTAAAAAAATATTTATTAACAATTGTTAGAAGTTGTTATTTAAATCAATACCAGTAGTGTTGATAGAAGAATATTTTTTAAGTTACAAAGGAAAACTGAAATTTCATTCATTCAAAGTATATACAAATGATTGGCTATCTCTTGCTTAGAGATTTTTAATCAAAATTTATGAAAGTTATGAAATCAAAAACAATTATAAAAGTTATTGAATCAAAAATAATTATGAAAGTTGTGGAATCGAAAACAATTAAAAAAGTTGTGGAATCAAAAACAATTATGAAAGTTGTGGAATCAAAAATAATTAAAAAATTTGTGGAATCGAAAACAATTATGAAAGTTGTGGAGTCAAAAACAATTATGAAAGTTGTGAATTGAAAACAATTATGAATGTTATAGAATCAAAAACAATTATGAAAGTTAAAAAAAAAAAAAAAAAGTAACTTTATTATTAAATATATATTTTCACATCTACTTTAACACTCATCTATTAAAAAATGAAAAAAAAGAGATTGAAAATTGACCAATTTAACATTTTCCACTGTGGAACAACCATATATATATAAATACACACAAAGATACTGATGTAAAAAAAATCAAACTTTTATAAATCACTTTATAAATAAAATTACTTTAAATTTTAAACTTTCTTATGTAAATATTTTAAATTTGTTCAAAAGAAATTTTTTAAATGAAATTTGATCAACTTTAAATTTTATTGTTTGTCATTTTTACTTCTACAAAATCAAACCTATCAATATTTTTTGAAAATAAAATGCCAATTTGCAAACAAATTTTAATTGAAACAGCAACAAAAACAAAAACAAAAAAGAATTAAATATTATTCTGGATATGAATTTCTTCAACCTGGACACATTCTGGATATGTGTGTGTATATATACATATATATATATATATATATATATTGCTAATTTAGGTGAGCAGTGTAATGTCATACTGAAATAGCCTGCTGTCAGCTTCAGTACATACATCGACTGAAAAATAGCCTAACTTGCAGTGGAGTGCTGCTACATCAACTGAGGGTTTAGCTTGGCGCAGCTATCTTTTTATTCATTATACTTTGTTTTTTTCTTTTTTTCTAAAAAAGCTGTATCGATTTAGATAAGCAAAAAAAGTGAGTAAATCTTACATAAATATATGCTATAGTATAAATATATATGCTATAGTAGATATATATATATATATATATATATATATATATATATATATATATATATATATATATATATATATATATATATATATATATATATATATATATATATATATACATACATACATATATATATATATACATATATATATATATATACATATATATATATATATATATATATATATATATATATATATGTATATATATATATATATATATATATATATATATATATATATATATATATATATATATATATATATATATATATAGATATATATATAGATATATATATATACGCTTCTCTAAAAGTGTTCGTATTTTATAATTTACGATAAAAATGTTTTATTTTTATAATTTTCGACTTAAAGTTTTCTGTTTTTATAAATAAATAAAAAAAAGTTCTATTTTTATAATTTACGATAAAAAAAATGTTATATTTTTTTAATGTTTTAAAATTTTTTTAAAATTTAAAAAAATCTTATTGTGTTGTTCTTTATAATAGTCAAAATTGTTTTTAGAAAGTTCCAAAATTGACTTCTAGGGAAAGAGATGCTGGACAAAAGTATATGTGTGGCTATGATTAATTAAGAGAAAAAAAAAAGAGAAGCTGTGGCGAAACAAAGAGACAGTCTAGCAAAATTTTTAAAACCAGAAAAGGTGCAAGAAACTAATAATAATTATCATATACCTAGTAACATCCTTAATGATGGTAAAAGCGTGTAAACAACAATTCCACAAAAGAAAAATTTTAATGAAGCAGAAGGAAATATGAACAAAGAAGACTTCTCATTGATATCAAATAAACAAGATGAATCAGTGAAAAGTTTCCAGCTTCAAAACAATCAAGATATCAACGAAGATGATATAAATAGTATTACTATCAATGATGTCATAGAATGAAAATTACACAAAATGACGTAATACAAGTGAAAAATTTTCCGAAAGATTATAATAATAGAAGTTTTTCTCATTTTAAGAAAATTAACGGATGGGGAACAACACAAACGATAGTGGTATAACAAAACTAATGACTCCACATTCTGTTATGCATGTAAATTATTTTCATCAAATAACGCTGCTCTTTGTTTAAATGAATTAACTGATTGGGCACATTGAAGTTTGCGATTACAAAGTCACGAAGTATCAGAACACAGCGCTTAAAATGTGTTTGTGAACGAATAGTTGTGTGTATTCTATATTTATCAGAGCATAATTAGACGTTTAGAGGAAATAGTGATGTTTTAAATAACCTGCATAACAGTGATTTCTTGGGTCTCATTGAATTACTTTGAAAATTTGACCCAATAACGAAACAGCATTTGGATCATGTGTTGAATCGGCACGGCGTTCATATTGTCTCATAGAATAAGATGAGCTTATTTGTAATTTAGCTAAAAAAGTTAGAAGTGAAATAATAAAAAAAGTTGAGCAAGCCAAGTATTTCACTATTTTATTAAATTGCATTCCAGATTTATGCCATAAAGAACAATTATCTTAACTGGAAAAGGATTATCTACAAAAATGGAGAGCGTATTAAAAAATGAGAAACTAAATTTAGGAAACTGTAGAGGACAGGGTTACGATAATAGTCTTAACATAGAAGGTATACATAAAGGTGTGCAAGCACTTATTTTTCAAAAAAATTCAAAAGCAATATATATGCTTGCGGAAATCAAATCATTTTGGTATGTTATATTTAATAAAGTAAATATTATAAGCAAGATTTTTCAACATTCCAATTTAATTATTAGCATAGTGAATACCCATTTAAAAGGACTTTTAGAATTTTTTGAAAAATACAGTGAAACAGGATTTAACTCCTATAATAATAGCTAAGGAAATTGCTGATGAAGTACAAGTGACACCTGAATTTAAGATTCAAAGAATTGTAAGAAATTATATTTTAATTTATTTTTCTAGTTATTAATGTAGTATTAATTACATTTAGGGGGTGCCATGCACACATTTAGGGGGTGCCATCAGACATTTTCAAAAAATGTTGTTTTCAGAACCACCCTAATATATATATACACACACACAAACAAAATAATACTACTACTTTAAAGTAAATGTTTGTGTAAATATAAATATAAAAATTAAAGTATTTAATTAAATGATTTTTTTTTATATAATGAAATATCTCTTTATAATAATACTGGACTTAATAGTAGTAGTAGTGGTGCGCTTTTGAGCCTGTTTGACATGATACTCTTGGCAACCATTGCATCCGAGGTAGTGACGAGAAAGAGTCTTACCTTTGCTTTATAAGAAAACGCGAGCAAACGTGAAACGCATATTGTACGTACATAAACTTCATGTTATGTAATGTTAAAACATGCTTAAACATATATCAAGTTCAACAGTTTGATTTTCACTTAAGAACTGCATTAATTTAAACCTTTGCTTAATTTCTAATCTTTTGTGTTTTTATCCGTTAAAAAACAATTTTTATATAATTTGAAATCTTCACGTCACTGTGACAGCGTAGTAGAGTGGTTAGCGCGCTGGGCTTCTGACCAAGTTAGCCGTGGGTTAAGTCCTACTATCGGCGACCTTCTTTTTTATTTTTTTTGCGCATGTGTCATTATTGAGATACTTATGTTATTTTAGTTAAACTTTATTTAAAAGTTTATTTACAACTAAATTGAGCAAGGAAAATTAGTAAAAAACATGTTTATATATAGAATATAAAATCTATATAACTTTTGATTTGCATTTTAAACAACAAAACCGCGTGCCAAGCTGATGAACTTGCCACGCGGCGACCATAACTTTTTTTAAAAATGGTAAGGGGGCTTAAAAAGTATATTTTTATTTAGAACATAATTAAAGATTTTAATTTTATATGTACACTAAATTATTTTATAAAATTTATTGTTTCTAAAAATAATTAAAAGTTAAACTATTTAATATTAGCATAATACCGATTTCTAATCTTTTGCATTTATATCCGTTAAAAACAATTTTTATATAATTTTGAATCTTTATTACTTAAAGCGTCAGCGTAGTCAAGTGGTTAGCGTGCTGGGCTTTGGAACATAGCTGCCATGGTTCGAGTCCTACTACTGTTTTAATTTTTTTTTTAGATTTTTTTAAATACAAATTCAAATACTTATAAAGTTTTATAGATATTGTATATAGACAACATATGTAAAGATATTAATCAAAAGTTTGATCCTCGCATTTTGACACAGAACCAACTTTGCTAATGAGAGAAAAAAAATCGTTTACAAATTTCAAAATTTTGTTTTTTTGTGAAGTCTTTTAACACTTAGTTTCCAACTTTCTTGACATATTCCAAGTCTTTTTGAGAAAAAACTTTGTTGATCAAATATACAAAAACAGAAATTCAGCTTTTTTGTATATGATAAATATCGCTGTGGTACAAAGTGCCAACCTAGGTTTTTTAAACAAAATGCCAATTGAGTTTTACTTCCACGCGGTTTTAATCACCACGAGGCTTAGTTAAATGCTTAGTTAAATACTTAAAAAAAGATAAAATTTTTAAGTTAAATAAAGATTTGTTTTTCCTCGATTTTACAATTCTGGCTTAATAGTAATATAGCTATAAAAAGCAACAACGATAACGATAGTTTTTATTTGGCCATTTCTTAACACCCTCTCCCCTTGATTTTTGCTTGCAAAATTTTGTCACTAATTTGTGCTAAAAACAAGTTTTTGTTACGAAACAAGTAAAGAGTTTTTTTGCTTCGTAAGTTTGATATAGTTTAATAAATGGTTAAAATCCTCTTTTTACTGTAGTTTTTTTCAAAAAGGGTCCTGTAGGAATTTTAGTCCAAATCTAATATATGAAATGGGGTGGAAATGTTAGTTGAATATAAAATTTCAACTAATACTTTTTACAAAGCACCATAACGCAATTTAGTTAAAACGTGGCTCAAAGTCAAATCAACATTTTTAAAAATCTGTTTTAATTTAAATATTTGAAATTTGAAATGTTAATATAAATTTTAGTGAGCTAATAGTGAAATGCTAATATAAATTTTAGTGATGCTAAAATAAAATTTAGATTTAGTGAGAAATAAAGCCCATTTTCGACAAACCCAGATTTACTAGGTCGATGACTTTTAAGACTGATTCTACGCTGAAAGTTTCTGTTTTTATCACTTATTGAAATAAAAACAATTTTCTCAGTTTTAATTAAAATATTTTAGAATTTAAGGGAAAATGCCTATTTTCAATTGTTATTTTTAAGGAGACTTGATAAGTAAAGAATAATAAACGAGGGTTGGTGTGGCTTAGTAAGTTTGGAGTGGGTATAAATATTTTCTCAAAAAAAGCGTCTCCCCCCTATCCTTTAGGATTTTAGAGTCACCATTAAATTTTGACATAAGTTGCAAGAAGTGTCTCGCAAATGCCATTTATGTTAAAGTTAGTGTTTACGCAATCAATAAGTTTAATCTTCGTATCTAGGACATTAAAAGTTATCATTTAGATGTTTTCATTTGATTGAGATTTTCTTGCGTTATAAACCGGATAATAGTTCTTATGAACTGTAAGCACGCGGATAAAGTGTGCATCAATATCCTAAAGACCAGTACTTTACGGGTCATGACAGCTAGTATACATAAGTACAAAAAACAAATATTTAAAATTTAAAAAAACCTTTTAACTTCTCTCTTTCTTCAAGGCCATTACACAACAATGAACTTGTTAATAATGTTTTGCAGCAAACCTCTTCATTAGTTTCTTTGTTTCCAGCTAATCCAACATTGATGACACACCCAATTAAAATACCCAAAGAAACTTGAGTATCTAGTAACCAACTCGATTCTTGTGTAATGTGGTTTAAGCTCACAAAATCTGTTTTTATTTTTTTTTCCTTTAAACTTATATATTCCCTTGAGCCCTGATTAATTTTATTTAAAGCACAGAATATGTTCATCATTGCATCAAATTTAAAAAAACGACTGAAATTATATTGAGAAACAGTTATTAAAGAATGAACAAAGCATAGTAGTATTGGTCCAACAACTGAGTTATCCAAGTAACCTATGATAAAATAAAAAATACTCAACACAGCTATTTCTTACTGAAAAAAAAAATTAAAAATAGATCAAAGCAAAATATAATTGATTGAAATTAAAAAAAAAATATTGCTTATATACAGGGTGTAAGCTAGCCCTGTAGGGGCCTATCAAACTCAGTATTCCTAAATGCTCATAAAATTAAAATTTCTCAATTTAAAGGTGAAAAAATCCCACTTTCCAAATAAAGTTTGCCAAATTAAAGTTTAATAATAATTCTTAAAATTATTGAAAATTAATCATAATTAAAAACTAATAGAAAAATAACATAAGAAATTCTTATTTAATTGTGTAAAACTTGAAATAAAATTGCCATTATTGGTATAACTCCCTGATTGCATAGCTGCGAAAATGTCACTTGGAATAAACTTCTTGAGAACTGGGATTTTCCAAGCAACTTTAGGGATTTTCTTGGCAACTTGCGCCTAAAATTTGTTTTGCAAAATTTGCAAATAATTCTGCACAATGTCCCAACAACAGCAAACATTATATAAAAAAGTTAGCAAGAAATAAAGTACAATCTAAAAAAATAAAAAATTTGTTTGGCTTAACAACAGCAATTGCTATTTTTTTACAAGATTCGCCTTTTTTTGGCCCAAAAGACAAATAACTTATTACGTCTTACTGCAAACTCTACTTATATATTAATATATTTAATAATTTATAGTAATACATTATATAGTAATACATTTGCTTCGTCAACAAAAACATCAAGAAGTCGTTTACGTCGTTTACGATACTTTTGAAATTTTGATCGATTTTGGATAATATGGTAAGTCATTTAATTGTTTTTCTTTTTTTGTTTGGTATTTTATATCAACTAAATTAGGTATTCACATCTACAGAAATTATTTTTTACTTATCTACTATCATTTCTTGACTAACTTTTTTTAAAGATTACCTCTAAATTATAAGTTGAATACAAAAAATGATTTATGAATATAACAAACTGGTACTAGAAATTTATTTAATGAGGAAAATAGTTTTCTTTACTTAACTGCTTGTTTTATTTAAAACCTAAATTAAATACGTATATTAAAACGTAAATTAAATTTGTTTAATAACAAAAATGTTTTTTTATGACAACAAACTGGCACTAGAAATTTAAAAAACAAGAAAACTAGATTTACTGCTTCCTTGAATTTAAAACGTAAAACAAATTTAAATGTTTGAATGAACCATAGTCATAATAACATTTTATGATAATGAATGAAAAATTAATTATTGGTATTCTTCGTTGCCACAATAATGTGCAATTGCTTGCGATCAATATTCTTTTGTAACTAAACAATATTTGTTTTTTTTTGTACAGACTTAATAATTGTAACTTTTGCTATTATTATATTTTGCTATTATTTTACTATGCGATTTATGCATAGAGAAAATTACTGTTAATCATAAAATTAAACTTGCAAAAATGTAAAATATGAAATTTATGACCCTGCATTTACTATTTTCAAAATCTTTTTTATTTTTCTATTTTTAAAACATTTCTTTTGATGTCACAATTTATTACATGATGGTGTAAGGGTTCGTCCATAAAGGACATTGAGCAGAGTTTAAATAATAATTAAAAATAGAAGATCATCGGATTAAAACTAAAAATTGGATAAAACTAAATTTAAAGAAAAGTTGATTAGTATATTGTTAGAGACAATACTAATATTAGTATTTTGCAAGAGACAATACTAATATTAGTATTTTTAATTTTGCAAGAGACAATACTAATATTAGTATTGTGTCTAGCGAAAATAACAAAAACTAAATTATTTCAGCGAAATTGCTAGAAAAAATTTACTTTAATGTACTTTTTGTTTAAAATATTTGCTCAACCTTTCCTTAAATTTAGTTTTAGATTTCTTCTGCAGAGATTTTTATTGATTATAAATTGCTGTATTACTTTAAAAATCGCCCTTTAATGCCCATCATTAAAAAAGAAATATATGTTTAAAAGAATACTCTTAAAATGAAAGCAACAATGATATATTAGATTTACAAATAAATCGAATTTATTTTTCTTAATAATTAACATACACTGATTATTTTATAATTTAAAAATATATAATTCCTAATATATCTTTCGAAATCAGAGCTTAATTTGCCATGTCATTGTGAAACCACAATTTTGTGTTGATTTCATATTCATTTTCAATAAATGTTACAGACGACATTTTATTTTATTTTTGCTGTCCAATCAATGTATGCAGCGCTAAAGTGGAGCAAAGGACAAAAAAATATAAGAAGGACCCCACACATTCCCGGAACACATTTAAATCTCAGAGAAGGGGGAGGAAGATTGAAAAATATGTTAACAAATTCATGATTTCTTCAAAACGTTGTATCAAATTTATTCCTGGTAAACACCCTGATATAGAAAATATGATAACTATATGCAACAAAAATTTATTGTTTATATACATATTTAGTTTAATAAACATGTGATCCTGGATCTCAAATGAAAAATTATATGAAAATGATCCTTATCTTAATAAAATTGTACTTTATTCATTTTAGTTAAAAAATATCTTTTTATCTTAGAGTAAAACCTAAATTAATTTGTGTAGAAAATGATTATTTTCAAAATTTTTATATAAATATAATATTAGAAACCCTCTAAATGTTTAAGGGTCTTAAGGAACCTTTAAAAATATAAAAAAACAGCAAGAGAAAGCAGCTACATAGATTAAGGTTTGGGTTGATGTAGCAATCTTTTCCTTCTTTTTTTTTCATTATTCTTTATTTTTTCCTTCCTTTTCCAAAAAAACTGTCTGAAAAAAAGTATGCAAAAAAATATAATTTTTAATTTAATTTCATAAAAACCATTATTTTCTCTTAAAAAAATTTCATTTTTCAAGTGTTTTTTAATTTTTTATTTTGTATTTATATATGTATATATAAGCATATGTGAATTTATATGTGTATATATATATATATATATATATATATATAAGGTTGCTGACCCATACCAAACCCTCAGTTGATGTAGCAGCACTCCACTACAAGTCAGGCTATATGTCAGTCAATGTATGTACTGAAGCCCCCGCAGCAGGCTATTTCAGTATAATGTCATCGTGCTCACCTAATTCAGCAGTATAAGATATATATATATATATATATATATATATATATATATATATATATATATATATATATATATATATATACAAATAGTATTGCGTACTAAGGTAAGCAATCTGACGTCATACTGAAATAGCCTGCCGCAGGGGGCTTCAGTACATACATCAACTGACAAATAGCCTGACTCACAGTGGAGTGCTGCTACATCGACTGAGGGTTTGGGATGGGGAAGCAATTGTTTTATTCATCATTCTTCGTTTTTTCTTCTTATTTTTCAAAAAAACGGTATAGCTTAAGGTAAGCAGAAAAAGTGAGCAAATGCTTATCAAAACACATTTTAGTAAGTGTATATATATATATATATATATATATATATATATATATATATATATATATATATATATATATATATATATATATATATATATATATATATATATATATATATATATATATATATATATATATATATATATATATATATAGACACAAACACACACAAACAAACACACACATACACTAAATCACTTTAAAAATAAAAGTAAGCATAATTTTACTTTGTTGATGATCTTTTTCAAGTTGAATAGCATATGTTAAAGTATTGCAAACATGTTGACTTAACACTGCCATGTAGTCCATTAAAATTGTTTCAAAAGGTATAACCTGAAACAAAACAATTTACCAGTTGACCAAAAAAGTAAAACAATTTTAACATAAAAAAGGTCATATTATAAAATAATTTCATGAAAATATTAGATTAATAAACATTTTATTAATTACTTAGGATTCTAATCAATCAATGGACACACTTACTAAAATAACACAATTAGTTATTAAAGACACTAAATTATATACTAGTATTAGGCATACTAATCAATGAGTGTACCTACATGAATATTAGGTGCGCCTTTATTAACAACAGATGCAAAAATATGTAACTGCAATAACTGTAGAAGCTTCAAGAGAAGTTCTTGTATTTCACAAATTTGTTGTAAACAAACATTATCAGGTAAACTACTACACAATTCAAATTGTTTTTTCTAAAATATTAACTTTCACAATTAATTTTAAGCATAAACTTTCATTAGTTAAAACTTGAACACTTAATATAAGCTATAAATAAATATCAGGTTAAAAAAAATTAAAATTACTGATAAATTTGTTGAACATTGGATAAGAAGATTTAACAGTTTTTGCAAAGTTAAGAATTTCTTTTCTTTTTCTTTTTCAATATTTGGTTGGTTTACAAGCAATTCTTTGATATCATGTATCTCATAAAAGCCAAACAATTGTGTGATTACTTTATGATCACATAGACTGTTCAATACTATTCTCACCAGCAACAACTTAAAACATAAAAGATTAAAAATTGAACAAAAATTAATTAAATAAAATCTGATTAAATAAAATATCAGATGAAAAATAAAATTCACCTTTGCAGGTGCTAAAAAATTATCCTGAATTATTTCAGAAAGTAAAGTCAGTGCCATCTCAGTGCAATCCTCTAAATTTGACAAAAAATACACAGCACCAACAAATACAACATCTGATACTTTTTTTAAGATGGCACAAGGGAAATCTTTTTCATCAACAAGTTGCAACAAAATCTCTAAAAAAGGTTTTCTTATATCTTCCAAAAAATCATTCTGCAGAGCTGAATACTTCACAGCCAGTTGGAAATGACAATTTAATAAATCAATTATTGATTCCAAAAAATTTATTGTACCACTAAAATGAACAATTGCTACATAAAAAACATTTCATTAAAAAGCATTTTTTCATTAAAAAGCATATTTTCATATAAATATATATATATATATATATATATATATATATATATATATATATATATATATATATATATATATATATATATATATATATATATATATATATATATATATATATATATATATATATATATATATAGATTAAGTCTTTAATTTTTAATAATTTTTAAATTTTAAATTTTTAACAATTTTTAACACACAATTATTAAAAGTATTTATGGTAGAAAGAAGTTAAGACACATGAATTTCAATTACCATCAAGAGAATTACCAATAAACACAAAATTTTTTAAATAAATAATTATTTTTATATGATTATCATATTATAATGCATATATTGATATACGCTATAATGCATATATGCATAATTATAAAATCTAAAAATTATAAAAACTGTTACTGATTTCCTAACTAAATAAAAACATAGGGCAAGTCAGCCCAGTTTAAAGAAATTATACCTTAGAACTGCAATAATATATTAAAACTATTTAAAATGTTACAGACAATCAAACATTTGTACATGTATTTATATAAAAATAATACCTATTTATATAAATTATTTGTGTTACTTACTTATTTGGTAAACTTTCAAACTTTGATTTATTTTTCACATACTTTTCTGTGAGAAGATACAGCTTAATAAATGTTTCTTTGTCCAATGATAAACAATAAGGTTTATTAGAGACTAAGTACTTTCTAAAAACATAAAACTCAAATAAAATAAAAAACAATTAAAAAAAGAAAACGCAAAAAAGTTCAATTTTAAAAAAAGCTAAAAAAAAAAAATATCAGTTAATGTAGAAAGCCTTCTAGGCAAAGACTTTTGGGGTATGAAGAATGATTCTGTTCATCAGCCCCCCTGACGAATTTTATATCTTCTTGACTCTAATCGTTGGTCTTTCAAGTCTATGAAACTCTTCCTGTTCTTTCCTGATGAGGGTACAGCTCTAAAACTCAATTTAATGGCTCTGAAGCCACTAGTAAAATTTCCCAAACTTTGTAGTAGCTCTCAGAAAGACTGATTAAATCAACAGCTGTAAAATATATTGGATCCAAGCAGGTAGTTTTTATTCTATTTCATCAGCTTCAATTGAAGCCTTGTCAAATTGACCATTCCTCACATACTCCATGGTTTCACTTTCTTGTGCAGCTGCTATTTCTAACTTTTTTTCATCATTTTCACAAGAAAAACTCTTTTGAGAACAATTACTTATTATTGACAGAAATCAACGAAAAAGGGGTGTCTGATGCTAAGCTCCAATATTCTCAGTTTACTAAACCTTTTATGTTATCTCCGAAATCTTGAGACTTTTGAAAAATCTTCAGCAGATTCATTAACAAAGTCGAACATTCCATCTTTAATACATGAATCTGATCTTAGAACTTCTCCCAAGGATTTGCGAAGAACTTTTGTGTCATTCCTGTCATTCCAGTTAAACAGGTTAATCTATTATTAGACATCTATATCACTTCGGCTTCTGTAGTTCAAGTCATTTCTCAATTAAACTCTTGCTTATGGTCCAGACAATATTCCTGCCATAGCCTTACAATAGTTTTCTCCAGAACTCTCTTCAATTCACTCTAAAATATATAATAAGTGTTAAACTGAATCTTGTTTTCCTGCTTGATGGAAATTTTTAAAAATTCTAGAGAACATTCTGACCCCTCCTACTAGTGTTCTATCAGTCTTCAGCCTATTTTAAGTCTTTATTTGACCAATTTCAAACATCTAGTCTTGAGTCTAACAATTAACTTTCTAACAATCAAATGCAAATTTTGTTCTTCTCATTCTACACCTGACTTGCTAACTGATGTAAAAGACAAAAAGGATCCGAAAAGAAAGGTTTTATTGCCCTTGACATATCAAAAGCTTTTGATAAAGTTTAGCATGCTGGTCATCTCAATAAACTTGCTTTATATAGTGTATCAAGGAATATCTTTGAGATCATTAAATAATTTCTTGAGATTATTAAATTGTTTCTTTGTAACCACATTATTTTAACCAATTCTTTCTAACCGCCATATTACAGTTATCCTCGAAGTCCAGCACACTTTTTTATTTCCAATAACATCTGAGGTCCAAAAAGGTTCTATCCTTTGTCTTGTATTGTTTCTTATCTACATTAATAATCTTCCTGACAATCTCACATCTAAAGTTGCTCTTTTTGCTGATAGCGTAAATTTATACTTTTGTCTTGACAAAAAATTGTCACTTTTTGACAATTTTTTGTCAAGACAAAAGTATAATTTACTAAGTGACAAAAAATTGTCACTTAACACATGTACATGATCTTGAACCTGATCTCACTATGGGTACAGCTTGAGGGTTGTAGTGGCTTGTGAATTTTAACTCAAACAAAACTTATTACTATTAAAACTTGTTACTGCAAACAACTATCGCAATACTATCAACATTCCTATATTAATGAACGACAACCCTCTCACTGTCCTTTTTTTATCTCTTCTTGGATTATTATTCATTACTGACCTCTCATGGAAACCATGTATACTATTTATTGCAAAGTTAGCATTTGTTAAGGTTGCTTCTCTTTATTGTGCTTGCCATTTTCTTACTTCGATTCCATTCTCTACCTTTATAAATCTCTTATTCGCTACTGTATGGAATATTGTTGCCATATTTGATTGGCTTTTCTGAAGATGTTCTTTCTCTTCTAGACAATGCCCAAAAATGCATTGAAAATCTAATTAAATTTGTTCTAACTTCCAAGCTTGAGCCACTTTCCGATTGTCATAAAATTGCATCTCTTTCTCTTTTTTACAAATACTATCATGCTTAAACAAGCTATTACCTATAGTTCCATCAACCAAAACCCATTCTTGCTTAACTTGTCATTCAGCAAAGTCACACCTTTTTCACATCAACTGCCCCTTTATGGTAAAAACTTTTATTCGTCTTGTTTCTTTTCTCAAATATTAATGCTTTGGAACTCCCAGCTTCATATTTTCATAAGTCTTCCGTCAACAGTTTTTTAGCTATTTAACAATATTTTTTGTTTTCTAGTAACTCCTTAATAGTGGTTGTTTGTATTTTGTGAGTGAATTAGTATAAAAGCAATAATAATAATATTTATTACAAAATATCATAAACATAAATTAAGTGTAAAAAGCTACTTTTTTAGAGGTGGGGTTGTCCAGGCAAAACTGTGAGATGTTCCTGTAGAAATCTGTTCAATTTTAATTCCATCAAGAGCAAGCACTTTTGTAGGCAATGAAACTGGCGTAAAACAGTGTCCTAAACCACATTGCCCCATGTTATTGTTTCCCCAACTGTAAACTTCGTGATCTAAATTAATTATTTACTTTCAATAATTATTCTGTTTAATATAATTTTTTGATTTTATATTGTTCTGTAAGTTTTTGTTGTTGTTGTTGTTGTTGTTGTGTTTATTATATTGTTGATGATGCCTTAGCCATATGCATATTCATTTATGCTAATAAATTTCATAACAATTTACACACTTACAAAGAACTTACATACTTGTTCATAGTTTTTTAAATCTACAAGATTTGTATTGTATAAGATATTATTAGATAATAAAATAAAAGATATTATCAGATGATAAAATAAAAAATATTATCAGATGATAAATAAAAGATATTATCAGATGATAATATAAAATATATTATTAGATGAAAATATACAAGACATACAATTTGTAAAAAAAAAATTTGATTAGATAAAGCAATCACAAATAAAATAAAATTGATCATAAAATGAATCCTATCATATATAAAATCAACCCACTCATTTGTAACCCAAAATTTAAATATCTAATAAATTAAAAAAAAAATGAACTAAAGAAAGTAATACTTAACCTGCACTTAGTGCTAAGCAATGACAATCCCCAAGTGAAATATCAACAATATGTACATCTCGTAAAGACTCTACAATTTTTGGAAGAAGGTGCACAGCATCAGCAGCCCCTACACCCAAGCATGGTCCACAACCCCAAACATAAATCTACAAAAAAAGAAAATATGTATGCATGACACACATCAAATGTATTCTAATTGCGTCACTCTGTAATTTCATTAAATAAAAGGTTTTAAATGTTAAAAATTAAATAATTGTATTACAAAACCAGTCCATGTTAATGCTATACTGCATTGTGTACCAGCTGCAATCTTCTTGATACGAATACCTTTTAATGCATCAACAATCTAAAAAAATAAAATGAATATATAAAAGAATTTTGAAGAAACGCAATTTCATAAAGAATTTGTTATAAATAGTTTGTTTTTTTTAATTAAAAATTTTTAATTTCAAAAAAAATACAATTTGTAACAAAACAATTTTTGAATAAGGAGAGATTTATTAATAATCAATAAAATACTGGAAAAAAACTCAAACAAATTTTATGTTTTTTTTTGCGTTTTTTTTTTGTGTTTTTTTTTTGAGTTATTATCTGCAGCACTAAATTAAACCAAGGGAAAGAAAAACAATAATAAAGTATTATAAATTTAGTATAAATGAATCTTTGATTCATTTATATCAAACTTTAAATTCACTTTATACATAGGTTAAATTCACTTTCTTTTTGTTCTATTTTCGTCTATTTGATCACATTTGTTTGTCAATAGGTACTTGTACATTAAAATGCCGATGCACCTTAAAATTTTAATTTTGTTTTCTTTTAAACTTAAATCAATTGGAATAAGGTTTACTTATTCAAGAAAATAATCAAGGAGTAAAAAAATAAAGTTTGAAACAGTAGGTCCAATCTATGGGACTGACTACTGATTGTATATTGTTGTATATTGTATATGCTTCAAAAATTTGAACGGATACTTTCACTTAAAACTTGATGTTTTTATTGACCCTTAAAATGAGGAAGTTGTAAAGACTATATGACAATCATTAATAATAGGTTTCAATTTCAACAAAGATACTTTAATCAGAAAAAGTAACAGAGATCCATAAATATATTAACAGTTGATATTTATGATAGCTATAGAGTTTTGATCATTATCAGAGATGAAGGTGTCACTGGTGAAAAATTAAGGGTCTTCAATTTTTTTGGATAGTTTGGTACAAACTGACTTTAAAACACTATAACAAATAGTTGTAAGTCATATAAAAAAACCTTTCAGACCATATTTTACATTCTTATACGCATGCAGCAGCTGATTTAAGATTGAGTGAAGCTAAGAAAATTTTTTTTGATGCAACCAATTCTAAAAAAGAAGGTGCTGCATAATCCTTTAACAGTGTTTCTAAACTTCAATTCTAAACAACACTGAGATTTTATACGACGAAGCTAAATGCATTATAATTACAATGATAATGATGCGCATTAAATACATATAGTCAATTCATAAATTTGCTATATACTAACATAAAATTTAAGTGTTCTTTAAATTTTAAATTTGCTCATAAATAAATTAAAATAAAGCAATGCTTTTGTAACCAATTAACCACTTTTATAACAAGATGCCAAAAATCAAAAGCTAAATTTTGCTAACATCAACTAAGTATGGCACTCTTGTACCTGAAATTCTTTGGATTTTGCAAGCTGCTTATGAATGGTTTTTACAAAATCATGGATGGGGTTATGAAAATTTTTATCAAATCCTTTGTGCGCCTTAAAATTGGATTAAAATCTAATCTGTTTATCCTATTTTCTAATATTTTGATTTTATACATATTCTTATATATATTTAATTTATATTCTTTATTCATACAATAAACCTTTTAGATTCTCCATTGTTGTGATTTTATGTTGAATTCTTTTGACTTATCGATTTCACTCTTTCTAAAATGATTCCATATTACTGCACCATATTTCACTCTTTCTAAAATGATTCCATATTACTGCACCATATTCAAGTCAAAAATGAAACTACGCTGAATATTCGACCAATACTTCTGATTGTAATAAGAGAGCAACCTGCTGATATTGGTGAAGCATTTATAAAATGCTCTCAACATTAGCAAAATGTTTAATAATATTTTTTAACAGAAAATTTAAGAGTTCAGACTAGAGAAAAGAAATTTTTCCAATGGTTTTTAAAAGTTGGCAACATTACTATATCAGTTCAGATAATTCATTGTGAACAGTGAAACACCTGAGCCTGCTTTTAAAAAAATGATTTTATTGTGGAAAAGATTTTTGATGTTGCTGAAAAAGCTGATTATGCAAAACATGCTATTTTGGCACCGCTTAACTCAGTGCTTCTAATCATTCACTAAACGCCAAGAAAAAACATTTGGCTCTAAATAAAATCTTGCTCACAATAACAAAAGAATAAAAAAAATTTATATTTTAAACTTATCAACACACTTGACACGCTAAATTTTAAAATCCCTTAATCAGAGCACATCTCATCTTATAAACAATTTATTGACACCATATTCTTTATTTTCCAAAGACAGTGCTGTATCCAGCATTAGTGTTGGTAATACTGTTTATAAAAATTGTTCTTCTAATTCCCAACCTCTGTTGCCCTTGTTTACGCCAGCAAGACTTACAACTATTGCACTGTGCAAAAAAACTTTTAAATTTCTTACTGTAGAATAACTGTTTGTTACTATAGCAGTTTCTAACTACAGCAGTTTCTTACTACAGCAGTTTCTAACTACAGCAGCTTCTTACTACAGCAGTTTCTTACTACAGCAGTTTCTTTTTACAGCAGTTTCTTACGACAGCAGTTTCTAACTACAGCAGCTTCTTACTACAGCAGTTTCTAACTACAGCAGTTTCTTACTACAGCAGTTTCTTACTACAGCAGTTTATTTTTACAGCAGTTTCTTACGACAGCAGTTTTTTAGTATACAAAAAATAACTAGTGTCCAGTGTCTTTAGTGCTGTGCATGATTTAAAAAAAAAGAATTATATAAATTTTTAAGAGGCATCTCTATTCTTCATTCTGTACTACTTCAAATTTCTATTGATGATTGACCCTCACATTTTATTATCAAATCTATCTAGAATAACAACACCAAACGCATTAACTTATTTAAAGACAGCACAAATACAGAATCTGTTTTTTGTAAAGGAAACAAAAAGAAGGAAAAAAAATTTTTTTTAATTTAATTATCTTTAATTATTCAATCTGGATTTAATGATTTATGTTTATCAGAATTTTCAGTTTGAGCACATTAGTTTGGGTGTATGAGAGAAATTAAAGTTTTACATTTTGTTTCAATAATAAAAATTTTTCTTACATTAAAATAATTTTTATATATGCTTAACTCTTTTGTGATTAGTTTCTATAACTTTACAAAGATCTAATATACACTACCCCCCCCCCCCACACACACATTTTCTTTTTTCTTTTCTTTTTTTTTTTTTTTTTTTGTAGTTTTTCTTTATTTCTTGCAAAAATCTTTCTTTTTTCATTTCACACTCTTTTCTTTTTCCTAATTTTGTACACAAAACCAAAAGATTTTAGTTTTTATATAACATTTACATTATTTTTTTTTATACTAATAATTGTTATAGTTTCTAAACTATATATTTTCTACTATCAAAAGTTAAATAACTTGAATAATATGAAAATTTCTGTGTCACTAATATGGTTATACTTTATATTGTTAACCAAAAGTTAACCAATAGAAATCAAGAAGTTAAATTGAATAAACATATATTAAATAAGGAAAAAAATTTCACATTTAAGATCTATTGAAAAAAATTCAGAAAGTGGAAAAAAGATACAGATAAACAAAAATACAAGTCAAAACCAACTATTCCGCCCATAAAGACAAACCTGTGTTCATTGCAGATAGACTTTAATTTAATATAGCCAAAAATTTAATATAGCCAAAAATTTAATATAGCCAAAAATTTAATATAGCCAAAAATTTAATATAGCCAAAAATTTAATATAACCAAAAATTTAATACAGGCAAAAATTTAATATAGCCAAAAATTTAATACAGCCAAAAATTTAATATAGCCAAAAATTTAATATAACCAAAAATTTAATATAGCCAAAAATTTAATACAGCCAAAAATTTAATACAGCCAAAAATTTAATATAGCCAAAAATTATATATAGCCAAAAATTTAATATTGCCAAAAATTTAATATAGCCAAAAATTTAATATAGCCAAAAATTTAATATAGCCAAAAATTTAATATAGCCAAAAATTAATAGAAAAAGCACTAAAATCTCAATAAAATACAACTATGGAAACAAAATACAACTATGGGAACAAAATCCATAGTGATTAATTTATAAAGAAATTAAAGCATGATTCAAATGAGTTGTATAAACAGTAAACTGTACATACATTACCAAAATCTTTTACAGTATGGTCCTAAAATCACATAATTTATTTTAAAGTTTTGTTGTAAAAAATACCTTAGGGTAATATTCCATTTTTGTATTTCCATGGCCAAGTTTACCTAAAAAAAAAATACAATGAAAAAATAAAGTATATATATAGTAAAAAGATTTCTTAATAATTGGCAATGACAATTTATAAATTTTATATATAGACAAAAAACTATAAACCATTATCTCCTGCACCAAAAGTCCATACAGTCATTTCATCTTTAGAAAGCACAACAGTGTGTGAGCACCCTGCTGCAACCTGACTTGCAGCATCAATGGATCGCACAAGTGTTGGTACACGCTGGATACTACTATCTCCATGACCTACATTTTATGCACATGGACAAAATTTATTACTTTTTATAATTGATTTAAAATTCAAAAAATTAAAAATTAAATAACCTAATCTCCCATGTTCACCCTCTCCCCAAGTGTAAAGATCTCCATCTTTTGTAATAGCTGCACTGTGTCGACTTCCAGCTGATATAAATGTTATTATCTAATTTACAAATTATACATTTTTAAAAACCTTTTACAAACATTTATATAGATAAATTATTGTTATTTTTTTGTTGTTGAAAAAAGCATTTATAGTCTTTTGTAATTTTTGTATGTTAATAGTGCAACTATAGCTTGAATATGTTCAAGTTAAATATTTTTAATTTTCATATTATTATTAATATTATTATTAATATTATTATTATTGTTATTCTTTTTATTACTATTATTATAATTATTATTCATAAAGATTTGTACAGGCAAGGGTTGAATTAAGTGATCATGAATTGCGATATCTGATAAAATATCTGGTCTTCAAAATTTTACTTTAAGCAAAGCTGTTTACTTTATTTTCATGGGGCAAATTAACTTAATTTGTTGGCAAAAAAGTTATAAAAAACAAAAAAAATAAATTTACAACTATCGAAGTAATAACACTATAATAGTGTTATTACTTTTACAACGCATTTATAACTTACATTCATAACTTATTGTTTGTTTAATCAACACTTAAGGTATCTTAAATAAAAAATGATTTAAATAAGTAATCCTTTATTTAATTTTTTTTTATTTAATCCTTTATTTAATTTTTTTTTAATTCAATTAAAATTTTAATTGAATTAAAAAAAAAAAAAATGAATATTTAAATATGTCAAAAACTTCATTTACAAATATATACTTTTTAAAACAGTTTAGCTTTTCTAAACTGTTACTAATGGTCTGGAAAAACATTTTTTTAATTTTATTATCTTTTTTAATTTTAAATGTTTAATATTAAAATTAACTGGTGTTTTTCCAGACCATTAACAACAGTTTAGAAATGGTAAACTGTTTATTAAAGTACATATTTGTAAAAGTTCCTGAAGTTTTTAATATTATTTAAATATCCATTCTATTTTTTTAAAATGAATTTCAACTTTAATTAAAATTTAGGATTACTTAATTTTTTATTTATATTACCTTGATTAAGTGATGTGTGAACAAACAATAAATTATAAATGTAAGTTATAAGTGTCTTATAAAAGTAATAACACAATTATAGTGTTATTACTTTTATAACACATTTAGTCACTATAGTGTTCTTACTTTTGTAGTCAAAAGTTTATTGTTTTGCTTTTGATAACTTTTTTTCTAACAAATTTAAGTTGCCCCATAAAAAAAGAACAAGGTTTTGCATAAAGAAAATTTTTTGCTTACTTCAACAAAAGATAAGTTAATCAGTTTTAAAAAAATTGCTTTCAGCAATCTTCCTGTTAAAAAACTACTAATAAAATATAAAACAAATATATTACAATAACAGTATGATAAAAAAAAGTCAGTTAAAAACATAATATAATAAGGTTAAAACACTTAAAAATATTCAAGACAAAAAATTAAAAGAGATCAAAAATTGAAGAAGTAGAAGAACTAAAAATGAAAAAAATAAATATAAAAATGATAATATAAAATTGAAATTTTTAAAATAAACTAAAATAAAATTTTTTAAACTTTAAATTTTTTAAATATATTTTCAAATTTTTTAAAATTTGTCTATAAATATTCAAAACCTTTCTAAAGCAATTTCTCTAAAGTGCTTTTATGCATTCTAATTTTGACCAGAACAAAAGAGTTATTAGATATTTGGTTTAATCTCCAGGTACTTATATATACTTGGTTTTCACTAGTATCATGCAAAAACATTTACTTGATTCCGTTTTATCAGTTATCTTTTAAATATTCTGTTTTGTTGCTTTTCAGAGATGTTGAATTTTTAGCAGAAAAAAGATATGAAAGAATTTGAATGGCTTGCTTTTCTTATTTCAAATTGACTCACATCTTCAAAATGACTTAAATAAAAGTTAAATGCTTAACAAATTTTAAGAAAAAGTAACTAAGGATGCAATTTTAATAACTAAGGATTCAATTTTAATAACTAAGGATGCAATTTTAATAACTAAGGATTCAATTTTAATAACTAAGGATTCAATTTTAATAACTAAGGAATCAATTTTAATAACTAAGGATTTTTTTTTTTTATTTGCATTCACTCCCAACAAGGCTGCAAGCAACCACTATTAAGTTGGGAGTTACTAGGAAAAAAAAGAACAGAGATATAGAGCAAGGAAACGGTTGACAGAAGACTTGAAAAGTTAAAGGTTGTATGAGTCAGGAAAACATGAAGATGGGAGAGAGTTCCAAAGGATTGAAGTACAGGGAAAAAAACTAGATGAATAAAAGTTTTTAGAGCATGCAGGGACAGATACAGTAAGCAAATGAGACTTAGCTGAATGATGAGTTAAACAAGAATGAATTTTAGTTGATGGAACTAGAGATGATAACTCCTTTGAGCAGTGACCATGATAGTATTTGTAGAAGAGAGAAAGAGATGCAACTTTACGACGATGGGAAAGAGGTTCAAGCTTAGTAGATAGTCCAGGTCCAACAACATTTACAATGCGTTTTTGGACCTTGTCAAGAAGAGAAAGTGAATCGTTAGAAGAACCAGCCCAAATATGACAACAGTATTCCATACAGGGACGAATAAGAGATTTGTAGAGGTAGAGAATGGAATCAGAAGTAAGAAAATGGCAAGCACGATAAAGAGAAGCAACCTTAGCAGAAGCTAATTTAGCAATTGATTGTATATATGGTTTTCATGAAAGGTCAGTAGTAAGCGATAATCCAAGAAGACGTAAAGAAGAGGACTCAGTAAGAGGATTGCCATTCATTAATATAGGAATGTTGACCATATTACGGTAGTCGTTTGCAGTAAACAACTGGGTTTTGTTAGAGTTGAAATTCACAAGCCACTGTGAACCCCAATCTATTACTGAAGTGAGATCGGATTCAAGATCAGCTGCTTGTTCTAGACGATCGAAAAGAGAAGACTTTTTGTCAAGACAGGAGTATAAAGTTGAGCAAAAAGAGCAAACTTTAGATGAAAGGTTGTCAGGAAGATCGTTTATGTAGATAAGAAACAAAACAGGGCCCAGGATGGAACCTTGAGGAACCCCAGAAGTTACTGGAAACAAAGAAGAGTGTTGGCCTTCAAGGATGACTTTAATAAACCGGTTAGAAAGAAATGATTTGATAATCTCAAAAACTTTCCCAGAAACACCATATGAAGCTAGCTTATGGAGAAGACCAGCATGCCAAACTTTGTCGAAAGCTTTAGATATGCCGAGAGCAATAGCCCTAGCTTCACCGCCTCCATCTAATGCACGATAGAATCTTTCAGTTACAGCAGTTAGCAAGTCGGCCGTAGAGCAAGAGGATCGAAAAGCGTATTGATTGTCTGACAGTAGTTTATTTGACTCAAGATGAGACGTGAGGAATTTGTTGATCAAAGTTACTTTGGTCATGATTTGGGTTTAATGAGAACTTGACTCATTCATAGATAGAGCACAGCCTCCTAATCAATGAGCTATGCAGTTAACTCAGTCCTGTTAATTAACCCTAAGCCGTGACATAGGGCTCCTTATGTGGCCTTGACAATGCACACCAAAAGCATTAACAGGGACACCATCCATGCGCAACATGGCACTGTTAATACTCTGATATTTTGCAGCTGTTGATGGAATCAGCCTCTCTGAGAGCTACCACAGAGTTCGGGAAACCTTACTACCAGCCGGCCTCAGAACCATTAAACTGAGTTTTAGAGCTGTACCCTCATATGGAGATAACAGGAAGAGTTGCATAGCCATAATCAAGGCATAAGCAAAATTCTATGAGTAGAGTCAAAGAGATCTGGCATTCATCATCCTAGGCAGGAAACAATGTAACACAGGTTACATCTACGTCTGCCTAATAGATGAAGAAGGGGTTCGAGGCTGGTTAGCAGAATTTTTCTGCTTACCCCTAAAAGTCTTTGCCTAGGAGGCCTTCTACAAGACAGTAGCTGGATGCAGTTAACATCTGCCCAAGATGAGTATTTTTATTGAGACACCATCTCTAGCCTTTACTCAACCAAGAGCCCCAAGGCAGGGATTCAATTTCCAAATATATTTTGTGTGCTTTAATTTTTTAGAAAAAGAAGAAAAAAGGAAGACTGATGAAAAATTTACATAAAATACATTCATACAGCTAGAATATATATAAAAGGTAAAGCATACTTGATTTTTAAAAACACCTCGAATAACTTTTGGAAGCTTTTGTGTTGCAACATTTCCATGGCCCAACTTCCCAAATTCACCTTTAAAAAATTAAAAAAAATTTCTGTCTAAGTTTTTAAAACAACATATTAAAAAAACATTATTGGTATTCAAAGCCCATATTTGATTTCTCCAAACTTCTTAAATAATAGTATTACCAAAGTAAAAGTAATAATAAACTTTTTTATATATTTAAAATACATGTTTAATAAGAATATAATTCAACAAAACATTTAAAATTTTCTTCACTTTTTAAATTTGAAAAAAAAAGACTAAAATCATACAATGGAGTCAAGCCGGTATTTTACGAACATTATGATGATTACATTTTTGCTGCATTCCCATCAGAAAATGATGTATGCTATAGTTTTATGTATCATAAGTTTTTGGTTTAACAATACCTCTGAAACAACTCTTGAATACCATGATTTTTGTGAACAACTGCCACCCAATTATCTTTCAACAATATAAAATAAAGTTTTGTTGCAAATTTATGTATTTCTTCTTGATATATAAACAAACTTATTAGCTGTAAGATATTTTCTTATCGCTGTGATTATATCTGCTGGTGACATCTTATTTCCTACATTTTTTTTATTTATGAAGTATTCATAAAGAAGTTTATTCAACTTAATAGAAAAATGAAAAGTCTTTCTTGTTGGCAATGCCCAAACTAATTTATGGAACTTTTGAAAATATATGTTGTTAATTGGGGTAGGCATAATCTTAAGCAATGCAGTTGTAGAATTAGAATGAATTTCAGTATAAACTTTTTTTACTTTTTCTAAAAAACAAGATTGTTCAGATCTTTTGTGCTTTTCAGCATATGCTTTTTTAACTCAATAATAGTTTCAAAAGATTCAATACAACCAGTCTTCTGGCAAAAACGCTGTGTATATAAACCACAATTTCTTATCTTTTTTTTTCCACTCAAGGTTTTTCCCTTAAAGTTTTCTTTCATACTAATGAATGAAACAATCAATTCAATTGATGGTTTAACTAAAAGTCATGTAGTTTTCTTAGAACTCATAGGAGTAGTTGTTGCTTTATATTTGAAATTTTAGGACTAGTTAAATAAAAATACCAAAATTTTTGCTACACTAACCACACCATTTTTGATGCCATAACCATATTTCACTGCTTTTGCAACATCTACTGCTGTTACTATGTCATTGCCAGCATATATGTAACTTCTTAGTATTGTTTTAGCAGATGTACTTTCCTTATTGAACTGGTCTTTTCCATAACAAGGCTCATTAAAGTCGTACGTAGAAGTTTAAAATTTTACTTTAATAAACAGGTGAAACTGATTTAAAACTGATTTTGCAATAAAGATAACAGAGCAAATACCCTGATTGCAGCGATATAAAATTGTTTGATGAACATGCTTTTTGAGAAAAAACATCTATATGCATATTTATGCCTTTTTTTCCAAAGTAGTTCTTTTGACCCTCTGTAAACTTCATGGGTAATGTCTTCTGTGAAAAGTCTTTCAACCAAAATGCTGTTTTTTTATCTAGTTGTTATATGTATTATTTTTTGCCTTTTTTTGTTGTGCATCTCTTAACAGGTGTATATATTCTGTTCATATATTCTGTGGTGCTGCCTATTGATAGTCGTACATCATCACCAACATTGCATTTACATTTGGAGTAGTCACATGTAAGGAACACAATTATTCCGTTCAAAACAACAACACGTGTCGTAAGTAATATTTTTTGAAAACATTTTTGTTTTAATTTTTTTAGGTACCTTAAGAAGTCCTTACAGACTTATCACAGAGCACCGCGAATGAGCATTTAATTGGAAGTTTACGCTTCCTTCCTAACCGATGTCGCAAAACTTGCCCAGAGATGGGGTTTGAACCATGGATCCTTTGATCAATATGATTTAATCAAAATATTTTTAAAAAAGTAAAAAATCTTAACTAACTAAAAAAACCCAAAAGAGATTTATTATAAAATAAAAATAATAATACTCAAAATCATACTCAAGAAACATATTTGGTGTAAAAATTATACTCAAAAAATATGACAGAGTAACAAGGAAACATACTGCATTCAAGCGCTTATAAATAAATATAGAAGCCACAAGAAAACATCAATACTATTTATATGTTATTTTTTCTGAACTATTGCATTACCCCATAGGTATTTTTTATAAATAAGGTAGATTAAAGGTCAATACAAGTTTTTTTAAATTGAAGTTTACAGCAAACCCAGGGCTTTAATCAAAATCGTGTCAAAATCAATGTGTCAAAAGATTAGAATTTCATTTTTGAGCTGAATTTTGCAGCTAAGCCTTTACTTCCCCATAGGTGTTTTTATACTTTTAGGTAATTAAATAGGTAAAGATTTATAATAACAAAAAAAGTTATGGGATATTCGCAGCTTTGAATAAAAATGAAGATCAATTATGACAAAAAAATCGTTTTTTGCATACTTTGAAGCATGATATTTAATCAAGAAAAAAAAATTTCTTTACCAATTTTATTAATTTTTGATCTGAACTAGCCAATAAACAATAATAAAGTGAAATACTCGTTGTAAAGTATTTACTTTGGTTTTTCTTCAAGTTTAAACATGCCTTCAACACCTTTGGCAATATTTCGAAAAATTTAGTCAAACTTTGACATCTAATATATAGAAAAGAAATTAATATTTTTTGAAAAAAATTTGGAATTGAGCTTCTAATATTAATAGCAACAACATATTAAAAAATTAGCAATTTTGAAGAGGATCACTATTGAGCTCTGCCTGATTCTTACAGAAAGTCGCTCTTAAGCTTTCTTTTAAAAAGTTCAAGAGAAAAAAGGAAAGTTTTAAGGTTATAATTTTTATTTTATTACTTTTTAAAAATGTTATAAAAAACTGATATAAAAATTACTTTTTAAAAAATTTTTTAAACTTTGATATTCTTTGATTTTTGAATAATAATTTCACAGTGCAGTTCAAAAGGTTAAATTAATGACCAAGTCCTGTGGTGACACTTCTTCATCTGGAACAACATGCCCACTCTGTAAAAAAGTAATAGACAATTACCATGGAGGTATTAATGGTAATAATAATAATTAAGAGAATAAGATAATTTGTTGGATTTTATTGACATAAAATAATGTAAGATTCCATTGGTTCTTGTTAACCATCTGACATAATGCATAATTCCAGGCTCAGCATGTTTTGTATAATTTAAATCACTTTCTGAAGAAACCTGCAAATCATTTTGAACAATCAGATGAGCATGAAGCAAAACATTTTATCAACTTTCCCATCTAAGTAATGCAAGTAATAATCTGCTCTTCTTGTTAGCACGCAATATTTTTATTCTTCCAAGTATCTTGTTGATTTCAAAGTTTTGTTTGTTCTAAGATATTATCAGCAGTCTACTATTATGTCCTTTAGAAGAGCACGGACTAATTGAAAAGTATACCAGATATACCAGCACATTCTATAATCTGGCACAAATTTGGATAATTGTGTCTTTTTTTCAATTATATGTTGTTTTTTTTCCAATGATGTTTCTTAGCCATGTCTACTTGAAAATTCTGTTAGTATATAAACCTCTTGATCTTGACATACTTTATCATCATAGAAAGTGGTTGCTGATGCTACTCAAAAATGATTTTTAACATAATTCTTTGGACTTTCTGTAAAATTTTGTTTGTAACTTCTTTATTTCCTTTATACGATAATTGATAATATAGACATATTACAAACCTTTTTGATCATGCCAAAAATCCCATTTTAATAATGGAACTTTGACATTACATTAAAATTGTTTATGATCTCTGTTTTTGTTTTCAAAACATTTGTAAGGACACATATAAAAAGATTACATAGCACCTCTGTATGTGGCTGCCGTTCTTTTATTATTCAAATGTTTTAGGAGTCTTTGTGTAGCATCTACCAACTTGGATAGATTGGCTTGATAAAAACACTGTTGAAGGCAATGGTTGTTATACCAGTATAATATATACCAGATATATATATATAATACTTAAAGCAAGTGTTTTGTTAATTAAACTAGCCCGGTGAATTCTTTCTGAAAATTTAAAAAGCATCAGTCTTAGTTGGTAGCATATTTTTTGGTATACTGCAAAGATGTCCAAATATATATTCACATGAATTTTTTCTTGTTGACATTTTATACCTGAAAATAGCAATAGAAACTACTATTATTTTCACGCATAAAATTTCAACAATATAGCATTGAAAAATACATGAAAAACAAAACAGTTATGATTAAAAAAAAAAAATGCATAATACTTGAGCTGGATAAGTAAAAAGTTGTTTTAATGTTAAAGTATTAACAGAAAAACGTTAGTTTCAAAGCTAAGGACTATTGTAACAAGTTTTTTTTGAAGAAGAACACATTGTATCAGACAGTCAAATTAAATCTCTTAAAAAAATTAATTTCAAGAATTTAGTGCATTAGACAGCTGTTTGCACTACTTTAACTTTTTTTTGAGCTTATCCAAAAAATTTTTTAATGATTTTCAGAAAAATGCTCAAAATGGGATTTAAAATCTGAATATTTAAACTACAATCATTCTCATATTTGATACTATTAATAATTATACACAACTTAAATGAAAATTAAATCGAAAAAAAAAAAAAAAAAAAAAAAATTTTCAACCAACTCTACTAAACAGATAAATCCTTTTTGTAATGTTGAAAGATTTTATAATAATATAACTTTAAAATAATATTAACTTTTAAAACTGTTTGCATCTGTTAATTTAACTTTTTTTTTATTCAATAAAGTTGGAATTACCAATTATTTTTCTTAACAAATAATTTTAAAAATTATGCGGTAGTGGTCTATATAGCTCATAAGCAAGAAGTTTCAAGTTTGATCCCCACCATGTCCCTGGTAGTACTGCACTCAACTTGTTTCTCCATGCAGAGGGTTTGTTCATCAAGGTTTGTGTTCCGGAATTATAGAGTTATATAAGGGTTGTAACTACAATTAAAACCTCCTTGACTGTAGTGGCCTTCATGGACTTGGGGAGGTGAATTTATATAAAAATAAAAAAAATTTAAAAAATAATAATAATTTAAGATAATTTATAAAACAAAAATTACAAAATAAACATATATTATAAACAATAATAATTGTAAAACATTTAAATAATTAAAAACCGAATATTAAATTCTTACAACATTACAAAAGGGAGATATTATTCAAATGTCACAATATAGAACCCTATTATTCTAATATCACGAGATAGAACTCTTTTTTCTAATGTTACAAGATAGAACCCTATTATTTTAACATATTTAAAAATTGTCATTACAAACATTAATGTCAATTATTGCTTGTTAATCAACAGCTGATAAACAGATGTAAAAAGTTTTAGGTATAATATTTTATAATTACCATCACCCCAACTGTAAACAACTCCATTTTTTGTAAGAGCCAATGTGTGACTGTCTGACCCTTTTGATGATGAAATCTAAATAAAAAATTTATAAAATTTGGATTCTTCCTAGCCATTTTTTAGTTAATTTTATTTGTCCACATTGTTTGATTTTTTTTTTCTCTGGATTTAAGTTGTTTTTGTGAAAATCTTCCATTCAAAAACTCATTATAAATAAGTTATGGTTCTGTCATGTATAGAGTTGCTGTACATAACTGCAACAATTATATTTAAAGTTGAATCATTGCTTGTACATAACTGCAACAATTATATTTAAAGTTGAAATTTTGTTTATACATAACTGCAACAATTATATTTAAAGTTAAATTATTGTTTGTACATAACTGCAACAGTTATATTTAAAGTTGAATTATTGTTTGTACATAACTGCAACAATTATATTTAGAGTTGATTTATTAATTGTACAACAACTATATAATAACTTATAATATATATAAATAATTCAATTAGAGTGCATCGAAAAACAACAAATTTTAAAAATTGCCTTGCAATACCTGTGAATGTATTCTATATAATAAAATAACATTGGGTTAAAAAAAATTTTGAATACAAAATTGAAAGCAAAAATATATAAAAACAATAATTGTTACATACATAAAAAAAAATAATTGTTACATAAATACATACATACATACATACATACATACATACATACATACATACATACATACATACATACATACATACATCAGGCAGGCCTCGGTGGGCAGCCAAAGCAAAAGCTTTAGCTCTCGCTCCCCTAAAGTGATTAACAGGAGCAATTTGCAGCTCTTGCAAAAGTATAATTTTTTAATAAATAAAAACAATTTTCTTTTTTTTCTCTAATTTTAGATATGGGTTAGAATAATTAAAAACTTTAAATTAAAAATAATTTAAAAAAAACTACATCAACTAATAAAGCAAAGTTAGAATTTCTGATCAACTTTTTTTGCTTACAAAATGTAATTTTTTTTTTTTTGCAAAACAGTCACTGATTTTTTTGTAGTGTTTGAGATTTTATTTCAATTATTCAAAATGGGTAACAACTTGTTGACTTAAAATTTTTTCATACTACAACATTTGTTTTGTTTTTAGTAAAGCAGAATTTTAGTATTATAAATGTGAATATACATATTATGTAATTATAATACAAAGTTATAATAGTATTGGTAAAAAAAAGAAATTTTTTCTTTCCTTTCAAGCACAGATATGCAGTGCAGAGAGATTTATTTTCTTAAAAACTCTGGTGTAAAATACTGTGCAATATAACTATATAACAATATATATTCTTGGTGTAAAATATTGTGTTATATCACTATAACATTAATGACAATATGGTCAAGTTTGCAAAGTTTTTATAAAAGAAAACCATTATTGTTGTAACTAAGATGAGAAATGCTAAATCATTTTAATAATAAACCAATAATTGCATAAACTATTGGTTTATTTCAAATTTTATTTTTCTAGTATAAAGTAAATTTTATCAATTGGGAATTGGGAAAGAAGGAATCTGTTTGTATGTCTGAACTAGAAACAATCTCAGCCCTTTTATTCAATAGATTAGTATTATTTTTAATAACTAATATATATATATATATATATATATATATATATATATATATATATTTATATATATATATATATATATATATATATATATATATATATATATATATATATGATATTATGCAGTTTGTTATTATAAGGAAAATGTTTGTCAATCAGCTTCAAAAAACATTTTACAACGTTGGTGCTAAATGGAGGGTTAAACTAAATGTTGTTGTGTGCTCGGTTCCATTTTTGAGTCGATATTGTTTTAGGATTACATGTTAGACTACATTTATAACCATTATTTATAACATTGATGAAGCTTCATTACACAGAGGGACAGTAATTTAAAATATTTTTTTGTTAGAAGAATTTGTAGACAAAGTTCAACCGAGTGTGGTATTTATTTTAGTATACTAGGGGGTGATTTGAATCAACATGGATGTAATTTAATGTGTTATCAGGTTTGAAATAAGGTTTAAAGGTGAAGTCACTAAAATTTAGAGTTAAGTCGAGTTAACAATTAAGTAGTTAACTTTTTTTTATGGTAATAAACGGTAGTTAACAACTTTCATGTTGCACTATATAGAATTGTGTAAGTCATTGCATTTAAGTATTTTGACAATATGCTTATTTATTTTTTCCAGGCTATTTGTCAGTCGATGTATATACTGAAGCCCCCAGCAGCAGGCTATTTCAGTATGACGTCAGATTGCTTACCTTAGTACGCAATACTATTTATATATATATATATATATATATATTATATATATATATATATATATATATATATATATATGTATATACATATATGTTTACATATATATATATATATATATATATATATATATATATATATATATATATATATATATATATATATATATATATAATATATCATTAAGTTAAAATAATTATATTATATTAGGCCAGGTGCTGTGGTTGAACAAGGTGAACAAGAAAAGTATATACATATATATATATATATATATACATATATATATATATATATATATATATATATATATATATATATATATATATATATATATATATATATATATATATATATATATATATATGAACAAGAAAAATATAAACAACAAAACTCGCCTTCTTTCTCAAATGTAATTTTTTTACAAACCTGATCAATATTTTGATTAAAAAGGTTTAACTTGTGTAAACACTGCTTGCTGCTAGAATCTCCAAGACCAAGTTTACCATGTGATCCCTGATATCGGAAGGAACAAAAAAATATAATCTTGTTTTTTACATAATGAATAGTTATGAAAAAAAAAGGAAAAACCTTTCCACATGCATGTAATGATCCATCATCAAACAAAGCAAATGTGCAATACTGACCAGCCTCTAACTAAAGTAAAAATAATATATAACATATAATAATCATTTATAAATATAATAATTATTATTTGTAATAATAATAATAATAATAATAATAATTAATAAATAATTGTTCAATTTGTTTGTAAATCAAAACAAATTTTTTATTTATTAGAGCTTTATGACAACAATATATAATTTCAAATAATATTATTTAAATATGTACATACAATAAAATTTTATTGAACACAATAAAAACTTTAAAAATTTTTTATCACCAATAAGCATATTGCATTTGTTTTTGTCTTTTTTCAAAAATTTTCAAATTTTTAAACTTAAAAAGAGTTTCAAGTTGAAAACTCAAAACTCTTCCATATAGGTTAAGGTTACTGAGCCTAAAGTGTTTTTATCTAGTTATAGACCTAAATAGATTTGATTTTGTAATTAGGATGACAAGCTTAAATTTATCTTTTTTAAAGCAATGAAATAAATCTATTAAAATACACCATGTTGCACAAAAAAAATGAGCTAGAAAAAGCGAGTCGCTTGCTTCAAAGACTACCTTAGTTTCAATAACAAATATCTGCTCTTAGAAAATTTAAAATAAAGTATAAAAGATGGTCCAATTTTCAACATTTTAGAGTTTCCATGTCAGGATCAGTCAAATGAAATACACATCAAGTTATTACTGAAGCATTTACTACTTTTTGCAATTTTTACTGCAAAGATTTATGATTAACTAGAGCTGAAATCAAAGATGAAAATGCTTTTTGAGTAACAATCACAATATAAACCTAAAAATTTTAGGTTTGGTTTCAGTAACAATCATACTATAAACCTAAGAATTTTAGGTTTGGTTTTAGTAACAATCATACTATAAACCTAAGAATTTTAGGTTTGGTTTAAGTAACAATATCACTATAAACCTAAGAATTTTAGGTTTGGTTTGAGTAATAATCACATTATAAACCTAAAAGTTTAAAAGAAAATCATAAAAACCTTAAAGGCTAACTTTTATAGGAAAAAAATTTACTTTATAAAAGTTATTAAAATATCAAGTGAAAACTCAACTTAAAATCCATTAGACCAATAATAACATAAGAGATAATATCAAAATTATATTAAAAAAATATATATAAAATATTTAAACCTGAATAGCATTTTTAAAAGCATCATTTTTCTTTGGAGTTAAAATTTTATCTTTGTTTCCTTCAACAAGTTGATGACTGCTATTACTTCCCCAAGCATAAGCCTCGTGTTTAAGACTTGATGAATCATTAGGTGAGCCAAGATGTTGGTGGGTCAGCAAATTAGCCTTTTTTGAAACCTTTATGAAATATGTCAATTGAATGCAAATTTAAACCAAAAAAATATATATTAGCCTAAACATTGTTCTAAAGAAAAGCGTAATAAAAACAGAAGAGAAAAACAGAATAAAAATAAACAATATTAATAATAGCTTGGACAACAAGCTGTTTGTTGTCTAAGTTGATTATTTAAGGTGCCATTTCTTTAGTCTAAATCCTTTTTAACTATTTTTAATCATAACAAATGTGCTAATTACAAAAAACACAAAAATACTTTTGAACAATTCATTCACCAATTTGTGGTCTTAATAAAATATATACTTACCAAATTCACTTTTAAAATTGATTTTCAGTGGTATAAATAATTAATATATGATAGAAAATGGTATGAACATAACAATAGTAAAAATTATATTGGTAGCAAACTATTGATAACTTAAAACTATTGATAACTTAAAACTTTTTTTACTTATTTAATAACTTTATAAATTGTTTGCAACATTTATTTACTTCTGTCCCAAATAAAGGGAAACACAAAATTTTAATAACTCTTAATTAATATAATAAGAATTTAAGCTAATTCTAAATTTTCCAACAATCACCAACAGCAACAATCTCTTCTATGCACCCCCAGACTAATTTATGCATTCTATTTGTACACACTATTAACAATTCATATTTTATTGTTTTGTGTTAAACATATACAACAGTGACTGAGCTTTTCTTCATTATTTGATGAATAAAAATCTTTGATAATTCAATTTTGCATTATCTTTTTGATAATGCAAAATTGAATTATCTTGTTGATTTCTTTTTAGTTTATTACTAGACTATTTTTTCATTTCAGTTTTATTACTAGACTATTTTTTCATTTCTGTTTTACTACTAGACAATTTTTTTAATTTCAGTTTTATACTAGACTATTTTTTCATTTCAGTTTTATACTAGACTTTTTTTTTATTTCAGTTTTTATTACTAGACTATTTTTTCATTAATTATAAATTGATTTGCTGAGAACACAAATATTTTGTAAGAAAAAAAATGTCTTCTTTAAAGTTTTGTGTTTTTTTGTTTTTGCTTATTTTTACAGTGGAAAAATATCCACTGTAAAAATAAACAAAAAAAAACAAAAAAACAAAACAAAAAAAAAACAAAAACCTAAATTACATAAAAGTAATATATAAATAAAATCAAAATATAAAAACTAACGTTTCCCAGAAGTAAAATGGCTGCATCATTTAGTGCCAAAAACTCCTCAGAATTCTGAAGCTAGACATGGAAAAAATAATAAAACAAACAAAAATAAAAATTTAAATAAAACTTTAAATAAAAACTTCAAACTCATTACCTCTAATTTTTCATCGCAAATTTGATTAAACCAATATATAAATTTCTTTGTACTGATTTTACCTAACATTGAACCATTTATAGCATTTTCAATACACTTATCTACCCAAACCAATAAATGTGTCAAGCTACCCCGTAGCATAGATAAACCAAGAAAAATTTCACTTGCAAAGGTTTGTAGAACTGAATCAACATCAGTACTATCTTTAGACTTCATTAACTGTAACATAAATAACATTATTTCATCTAGACAATCTCTGGCAACCTTTGGAAAATTGTTATCATTTAACAAAGACAGCGGAGGAACTGTCATAATCATATCTGAGCAAGAACAAAGAACTTCTTCACATAGTAATCTCATGTGCACGTCTGATGAGTTTTTAGATAATCTCAGAATTGAAAACAAAAATGTCATGAGTGCTTTTATAGACATCTCCAACATAATACTGCTTTGGTCAAACTTACTTAATACTTTTTCTTGTGGATAATTGGCAGATTTTTTTTGTGGTAAATGATCATGGACAGATACTTTTGTTCTAGTTTTATGATACTTTTGACTAATAGTTTGTAAAACTGCATTTATAATACAAACTCGTTTTCGTGTTGCAATTGAACTTGAAAAGTTATTGTATAACTTCATAATACTAATATTATCTTTGGTTATTAGCGAAGTCAAATATTCATCACATATTTCGTTTGTAGGTTTCTCTTCTTCAAAATCAGGTATCAGTGACACTCCATCTTTACAATGACTACTTTTATTTTCATACAAGTCACTTTTGTATTCATAACTTAGCTGAGTGTCATAAAGTTTCTCAACATTCTCTCTATTTAACAAAGAGCCAATATCAATATCAGCCCAACAAGGTATCTCTGTCATACTAAGTTTTTTTTAAATAAAATATTTTTATGCTAATTGTCCTGCATTATTTTAAACATCTGGAAAACATAAAAAGTAAAAAATTAGAGCAAAAAAGTCTAAATGATAGCCTATAACTATAAATACAAATATGAATAAAACAGAAAAATGGCTATCAAACATTTAAACAGGTGTCATGCGAATGATGTCAAACATTTGTATGGGTTATATCATTATGATAGTGAAGTAAAGTGTTAAGTCGTGGCTTATCAGTCACAAAAGAATATAATATTTCTACAGCTATGCACAAAAGTTTAATTGAGATGGTAATTTCAATCAAACTTTTCAGGATTTTTTCAACAAAAAAAAATCAGGAAAATGAACTTAATTAATTTTTTTTATTTTTAAAAGAACAATCAATTAGCTATAAATTAACATTAACAAGATAAAATAGTTAAAAAAAATAATTCAAAAAAATTAAATAATTATATATTATCATGAAATAAGTTGAATAAAAGTTCAATCAAGTTCAGGTTTAGAACATAAAAAATAAAATAAAAATTATACAAATTGATTATTTGAAGTGTCCTCCTTTGGCCTGATAGAAAAGAAAAACTCGTCTCTGTATTGATTTGACCAATTGCATGCATATTTCATGCGGCAGTTTTAACCAATACTCATTCAAAAATTGCTTAAAATGCTTAGTTGATTGAATTTGATGGTTTACCAATTGAGTGTTGATCCATGAACAAATATTTATTATTAGCTCGATATCTGGTAATCTAGGGCGCCAAGGCAACAAATTGATCTTCTTTGTGTTAAATCAGTGTGTTATGCTATGTGCTGTGTGTGCTGGAGCTTTGTCTTGCTTGCTTTTGCCATACAATTGTCTTATCAATAGAATCAAAAGTGTTTCAAATGTGTTTTTGTAGGTATATTGGTTTTTACAGCTATTATACAGTGGAAAAAATGTTCCCATATGCCTACTGAGCCTCCACCACCTTGTTGTTTTACTTGTAAATAGTGCTCCCAATATTTCTTAGTAGTAAATCTTTTAATGTATATCCTTTCTTTGCAGTTCACAACCTGAAAATTTGACTCATTGCTCCAAATCACTTTTGCCCAATCTTTAACTACCCGATGCAAATGGCCATTATACCATTTTTATCTTTTGCATCAATCCATGATTGTAAGGATTTTTATTGTAATGTGCTAATGTTCTTCAAACAAGTTCTCTGTATACATTTCAATTAGAAAAGGATTGGTTGAATATTTGAACTTTTTCTTGCTGAGTCTAGGATTTTCTCTACTGGTTCTGAATTTGCTACATTTGTTGTGGTCACTAAGTTTCAGTGGGCTTCCAGAATGAGGCATGTCAACAATTTTACCTGTCAACTCCCAGTTTTGCACTGTTTTTCACACGCAAAATTCACCCATAAGTTTACTAACTTCAACATTCTTTAATTTGACCAGCCCAATAACTTGCCATTTGATGCTCTCTGGCACTGCTTTTCTACCCGTTTACAAATTGAAATTTAAAATTTAGATAGTTTTAAATAATTAAAATAGATTTTTTTAATTTTAAAATTATTTTTTTATTTAAGAGCCAAAAGTACTCACACTATACTTATCATTTAAAGTGGTAATTAGATATCAAGTGTGAAAAATTTTTATATCATCAGTAAAATACATCGTATAATGTTAAATTAGTTTTACGGAAGTAATGTATGAATCAGGTGTGAATCTTTTTTTTTTCTCTATTTTATTGACACAAACATAAATAGCAAAAAAAAAAGAAAAAAAGATAAACTTAAAATCTATATCCATTAAATTTTATTATTAGAAAAACAAGCACATGTTATGAAAAACTCAATTAAATTTGTGAGCACAACTACTACATAATACCCCATATATTGTCATTTGTAAAGATATAATGGAACCGATGTCAAATATTTATGAAACATAAGCGATACTTTAGTTTATATAGTTTTATTGCTTATATATTGAGAATATGCTTTTTTTCAGATATTAGTTTTTCAAATAAGAAAAATATTTTAAATAAATTACATGTTTTTAAAACCCTGTTTATGCATAAAATAAATTCATACTCACACACATACACACAAAATAATAAAATAAAACAAATTCATTTTTTGTTCTTGTTTGAGTTTTCAGCTATCAAAAAACAATTAAAAAAGCAAAAAACAATAACAATTTTTTCTTTATTGTTCTCATTTTTAAAAGTAAAAAACTTATCAAGAGATAACTTAAGTAACTTAGGAATTAAGTTGATTTAAATATAAGATTTATATCCTTTCCAGCCAGCACAAACACGTCTTTTAGACGTCTTTTTAGTATCTAAAATGTTAGAATTTGACGACGAATGGGAATTTGTCTCTAAGATGAATACTATTATATGATTCAGTTATCTGAACTTCTGAAAGGTGTTTTTTAGATTTTAAAAAGATGTGTTTGTGCTGAGTGAGTTTTTTTAAAATATAATGACATTACATAATCATGATTTTTATTCTTCTGATGTTTTTAGATAATTAGTAAGAGCTAATTTTAAACCAAAAATCAGTATTTTATATAAAATTTAACTTAATACACAATAATACACAATAATAGTTAAATATATGTAAACAAATAAAAAGTTTCAAAGAATTATTTAACAAAACTGAAATCTATTTAATTAACTCTGAACTATATGAAACTGGTAAAAATTTTGGATTGGATAATGGTAGTGTTTTTCTAAAGCCTTCCCATTTATACTTTTCACTATGTGATTTTGAAAGGTCTTCTTTACTGACTGATAACATAGAAGACCAGTCAGGAATTTTCGGATTTAATTGATAAGCTTCTCGACTAATGGATTGTTCTGCAAGTAATTCCAGAGCACTAAACATGGCACCACCCAACCAGACACTGCAATTTTCTGGAATTGCAGTTTTGTGGAAAACAAATTTTTTTAAAAATAATTTATCTTTATAAGGTTCTGTAGTAATTAAATGATTCAACTCAGAATACAATCGAGGCAGAAAACCTGTTGACATACAAGTACCCCCAACAACTACAATATTTTCAGCTAACAGTTTACGACAGTCAATTGGACATTTTAGAATTGAATCTAAAATCGTTGTTGTAATGGACTGGTCATCATCATTCCCTTGAAATAATATATCAAGGGAACAAGCACGCAGCTTTCCACTAACATTTAAAACCAGGCCACCATTTATATGATATTTAACAGGAACTGCAATTAAATTTGATGAAAATCGACCAACAAAACAGCACTGAGATTTTATGTCCTCTAGAACAACCTCATCAACGGAAGTTATAACAGAATTTGCAAGCTTTTCATTACCATTTGATTCAACAATTCCATTTTTTAAAATCTGGTCATTGATATGTTGATGCACAGCCTTGCCAGCAAGATTAATATATTCCATAGCAGATAATATAGGCAATTCCTCAAAAATTGGAACAACAGTGGTTTCTGTATAACCACAGTCAATTACTAGACCAGTTTTAAGTCCAAGTGAAAATACTGCTAATAAATGACTAGATATAAAACATAAAGATATAATTTCAAAATCTTTAAATAACACTTGGGCAATAAGGTTTCTGACATTAATTGATTTCAAAATGGAATCACAAATAACAACTCTTCGCTCTTTTGGGTTGACAAGTAAATATTTAAAGTAAATCATGTGGAAAAATTCACGAAGTTCATTACAATCAATATTGTTATTGTCTTTAAATAATTTAGAAGTCACTAGGTCACCTTTAATCATTGTTTTTATCTCTGATCGAATTATATGGCGAGGACTAAATTCTCCAGCAAATCCAATTTTTGTAAATGCTGCACCAATATCAAATACAACAGCTTGCTTATCAGCTCCTAAGCTAATAAGGTCCATTAAAGCCATTATTATTATATACTTTCTGCTAAAAATAACATAAATATATATATATATATATATATATATATATATATATATATATATATATATATATATATATATATATATATATATATATATATATATATATATATATATATATATATATATATATATATATATATATATATATATATTAATTGGATTGAATATAAAAAAACACAATTGCAATTTAATGCTTTTTAAAAATTAAGTTGAATCATGTTTTAACTTAATTTTGTATTAAAACTTATTCAAGACTTTTAAAAATTAATAAACCTAAGTATCATAAATTATAAAACAATACCTTAAAATGGTAACAGTATAAATAAAAATAAAAATTAAAAAATATTATTATAATAAAAAAAACTTTTGTAAATCACGCATCTTCATAAATTTACACATTTGAAAATTAAAAAGAATGGATATAAAAATTATGCTTTTAAATGGAATTTTAATTTGCTTTCAAAATTGTGCTTTCAAAAGAAAGCACAAATTTATGGAATTAAAATTGTGTTTTCTTTTGGAAGCAGAAAATTTAAAATTAAATTAATGTATACCTTCTATTATAAAATTTTGCTCTTTTCACTAGCAAGCTCTTAAATTTTATTTAGTTTTATAATATAATAGTTTTAATATTATACTATATATTATATAAAGTATAATATTAAAACTAGAATATTAAAAAAAAAAAATAAGTGCTTGCTGGTGGAAAGAGCAAGAGCTTTTAGTAAAAGTTATACATTAACTTTATTTTATTTGAAACACATATACATTAACTTTATTTTATTTGATACATATACATATACATGTACAATACATATTTTTAGTAAAATACAGAAAAAGAGAGTTTTAAAAAGAAAACATTGCAAAGGGAATAAATAGTTACACAACCAAACAGTTATTATACCAAAGACGATATAAAAATTACCAAACTACAATTATAAGCTTATACTTTATTAACTTTTCTTTTTTTTTTGACAATCCCAAAATAACGAGAAATTTCGGAGACTAATCCCAGGAATTCAGGATGAACAATTTGTACAAAATCCCGGGATTGCCATCCTTACACAAAAAGTTGTATTTTCTTTGTTTACAAAGAAAATACAACTTTTTGTTGTATTTTCTTTGTAATATATATATACATAATATAATAATATAATATATATATATATAAATATATATATATACATATATATATATATATATATATATATATATATATATATATATATATATATATATATATATATATATATATATATATATATATATATATATATATATATATTATGTATATATATATATATATATATATATATATATATATATATACATATATATATATATATATATATATATATATATATATATATATAATATATATATAATATATATATAAAATATATATATATATATATATATATGTATATAATATATATATATATATATATATATATATATATATATATTATATTATGTATATAAATATATATATATATATATATATATATATATATATATATATATATATATATATATATATATATATATATATATATATATATATATATATATATATATATATATATATATATATATATATAATATATATATAATATATATATATATATATATATAGTATATATATATATATATATATATATATATATATATATATATATATATATATATATATATATATATATATATATATATATATATATATATATATATATAATATATATATATATATATATGTATATGTATATATATATATATATATATATATATATATATATATATATATATATATATATATATATATATATATATATATATATTATATATATATATATATATATATATATATATATATATAATATATATATATATAT